AGCACGGAGCAATTTGAGCTAGGAGCGAGGAGCGTGTCAGAATTCCAGCCACTAACCACTGGGATAAAAGGGCTTGTTAAGTAGCGGGTCAGTGCGCCCATAACCCCCTAGGACAACGAGCCTGTAACCCTTCCCTAGGATCAATCGGGGATCACCATTGGACCTCTGACAACCCCCCCCACTGGGATGCCCGAAGTGCACACACTGGGATTCGAACCCGAGACCTTCGCTCTGATACCATGTCAGAATCCCAGCCACTAACCACTGGGATAAAAGGGCTTGTTAAGTAGCGGGTCAGTGCGCCCATAACCCCCCAGGACAACGAGCCTGTAACCCTTCCCTAGGATCAATCAGGGATCACCAGTGGACCTCTGACAGAGCGAAAACGACTGGAGCTAGAACGGCTGGAGCTGAAACGGCTGGAGCGAGAAGGGCTGGAGCGAGAACGGTTGGAGCTAGACACGGCTGGAGCTAGGAGTGGCTGGAGCTAGAACGGCTGGAGCTAGAGACTGTAAGTGCGGCTATCGGCTGCCGCTAGTATAGCCACTGGTAGTGGAAAGTACGTGCGACAGTAGGGGCTGCAGTACTGACAGCTGCGGTATGTAGGGAACTGTGCAGGTCGTCCGGCAAGCAGGAACGCGGGCGACAGTTGCAGCCCAACACCGTGAACCCCTTTTTGTTTTTGTGTGTGTGTGTTTTTTTTTTAGGGTTTAATTTATTCATTTATTTTCTGACGCTAAAGCACTGCGGGGCGCGCTGCCTGCAGGGTGTGCTGCCTGCGGGGCGCGCTACCCGCGGTGCGCGCTGCCTGCGGGGCGCGCTACCCGCGGGGCGCGCTACCCGCACGGCGCGCTGCCTGCGGGGCGCGCTACCCGCGGGGCGCGCTACCTGCGGGGCACGATACCTGCGGGGCCGCGCAACCTAGGGGCAGGGCGACGCGCGGGCTAGGGGCAGGGCGCACGGACGACGTGACGGGCTGGGGCAGGGCGCATGGGCGACGTGACGGGCTGGGGCAGGGCGCGCGGGCTACGCGACGGGCTAGGGCAGGGCGCACGGGCTACGCGGCGGGTTAGGGCAGGGCGCACGGGCTACGCGACGGGTTAGGGTAGGACGCACGGGCTACGCGACGGGCTGGGGCGGAGGCGCGATACGGAGGGCGTGGAGGGCGCGTAGGGGAGGGCTAGGCGCGGAGGCGCGGATGGCGCGTTACGGAGGGCTCGGAGGGCGCGGAGGGCGCTAGGGCGCGGAGGGCGCTAGGGCGAGGAGGGCGCTAGGGCGCGTGACGGAGGGCGTGTAAGCCGCGGAGGGCGCTAGGGCGCGTGACGGAGGGTGCTAGGGCGCGGAGGGCGCTAGGGCGCGTGACGGAGGGCGCTAGGGCGCGGAGGGCGCTAGGGCGCGTGACGGAAGGCGCGTAAGGCGCGGAGGCGCGCTAGGGCGCGGAGGGCTCGAGGGCGTGAGCTAGGCTAGGCTAGGCAAGGATTCTAAACCTACTCGTGATACCATCTCAGAAATAGAATGCAACGGAATCATGAGATTAGGAATGTGGGTGATACAAATAGCAAACCCTAACTGAGTTGTACTCACTAAGGAGCACCTCACTACAGCCTATCACAAATATCAACATTTGACAAGAGATTCAACTTCCTATTGAAAGGGTACCGTAATTGTTTCTTGCACCATGATTTTACAGGGAGTCGTTGTCAGGTATCCTTACAGAAAAAATGAAAGCGGGGTGTTGGCCTTACGAGAAAGAGTAGCATAAATCCTATCCAGAGGCCTGGTAATGAGGCATTAGAACAACCTGCTTCCATCTTCCGCCAGGTAGCAACCCTACCTACCGAAAATCCCTTTCCCAAGAGGAGATGTTAAGCCAAAGCTCGAAAAGGACCCGCTCCGTGCAAACGAGCCCATAGAAAGTATTGACCCCATGCGCGACAATCTTCCACCACCCACAGAACCACTCTCCATCCGCGGAAACCGCTCAGCAGCACTCATGTTACCGGTAGTATCTTCCTGCTCCGCACATTCCCAGTCTTCCTCCCTTTCCGGGCAATGCTTGTCAATGAGAGCCTTGAGGCGGTATGCAACGTCTTTCATGTTAGGGCGCCGTGTGCCTGGGGATTTGACACAGTCCAGAGCTAGATCGGCATAGTCAACAATTGCCTCCTCACTTGCGTGTAGCTTGCTGTCCTTTAGATCTTCCAAGTGATATGCTTCCATTTTCTTCAAGGCCTGTGCAGTGGGTTGGGTAGTGTAAGGAGGCGTGGGGCAGACTTCAGTGGCGCCTCAACAGTTGATAATTGCCTCCTCACTCGTGGGTAGCTTGCTGTCCTTGAGATCTTCCAAGTGATATGCTTCCATTTTCATCATGGCCTGTGCAATGGGTGTGTGTAAAAAAGAGTGGTGCAGAGCGGCAAGGAGGTGACCTTTGAGTCAACCCAAAAGCCAAGTGATATGCCTCCGTTTTCTTCATGGCCTGTGCAGTGGGTACACGTAGGGAAGGGTGATGCAGGAAGAGAAAGAGAGAGAGAGAGAGAGAGAGAGAGAGAGAGAGAGAGAGAGAGAGAGAGAGAGAGAGAGAGAGAGAGAGAGAGAGAGAGAGAGAGAGCATGATGGAGCGGAAATGAGGGGCACACCTGCCACCATGATGGATATGAATGTTGGTGCGGGGCGACAGAATCAGTCCGAAACGTGGTGCAAGGAAACATCGTAAGGAGGAAAGGTGGCAACAAGGAGAGGTGGAAGAGAGGTGGAAGAGAGGTGGAAGAAAGGTGGAAACTTTATTTGAAGAGGACGAGGCAAGGATCGAATCTCGAATCCAACATGAGATGGCCATACCCAGTCTCTGATATGCGAGTGGCGATGGCTATTGGGTGTCTTTCCAACCAGCAACTCCAAAAGCACGATGCCAAAGCTGCAAGCAGTCATCACAGCACAGAACAGGCCAGAGATTATCAGAAACATGTCATCAAATCTGCAAACAAGTCTCAGTAAACAAGTCTACACAAAGAAGCCTGTGCAGGAGCAAAAAGCCTTACGGACAGGCCTCATGCTGTACAAGCTTTAGTCTAGAACTTTACAACAAGCGACGGCCACCCCAAGGATGTGTCTGTAACGGACAAGTGACTTTTGGGTCGACTCAAAAGTAACAGACACGTGGGCTGCAGAGGCCTCACTTCCAGAGGCGTGGCCTTGCAGAGTTGTTGAAGTCAAGGAACAGCTTATGCACTCCTGAAGATGTCGCTCCAACTCTTGTAAATTTTTAGCTCAAGGCCCAAATTGCAGAGCGCGCGGGGAAAGATTACTAAAGTTGATGAAAGTGATGTTTTGAGTGTTGTTTGGCTGCGAATTGTGGTTACGTGAAGTGCGATGCAATTTGATTGGCCAACAGTTTTTTTGTCGAATAGGAGAGAAGGAAACACCAAGAATATTGTGAGTGCAATTTGGGACTCGAGAACCAAACCGAGTTTCTCCCTGGGGTTTGCTGAGTCAGCGAAAACCCTAAGGGTGTAGCGGGAAGCTGGGCGAAACTAAACAGCCCAACTTCAACAAAGTCAACCTTACTCTCCCACCACCCGAAGGGCAACCTTAGTAAGGTTGAACAATTTGGGCCTTGAGCTTTAACTCAACAAGTCAACAGGCGACGACCAATTCAAGGAACAGCTTATGCACACCTGAAGACGTCGCTCTTAGCAGTAATGACATTGGTGCGGTTGTAATCCGGGTCCACATAGCCCGGAGTGCCAGCCACTCTCGTGGCATCGGCGTCGCCATGAGTGAGGCGCTTGAGCATCCCAAAGTCAGCCACCTTGGCTTGCATGTCGTGAGTTACAAGAATGTTGGCGGGCTTAATATCGCGGTGTACGATTGGTGTGTCAAAGCCGTGCAGGTATGCCAGCCCCTCTGCTGCTCCCTGTGCCAGTCGCAGTCGTTGCCTCAAGGGAAGAGGGCCTGGGGCAGAGTGAGGGCACAGGGGCGGTGGTTTCATTCACCTTGAGTTGGATTGACATCTCTAGAGGGGAACAGAGAGGGTATATGAAAGAAAAGCCGAGGAGTTGGAGGAGTGAGCAGCAGAGAGGTCGGGTAAGAGCCATCTCATATCTTATTTGCCAAACGGAGCAGCGAAGATTCACCAAGATTCACAGCACATCCCAGCAGCCAACCCAACTCACGCCCGGACTTGTGAACTCACGCCCAGACTTGTGAATGTGGTACTGCAAGTCTCTGTTGCCCACAAACTCGTACACCAAGATCTGCTCCTGCTTGCCCGTCTCCATGTTCTGATCCTGGCAGAAACCCAGCAGCCGCACCAGATTCGTGTGGTGGAGCGATGCCATGGCTCGCACCTGAACACGGGAGAAATGAAATACGTCCATGTGAAGAAATGAAAATGGTAAGTTTTGGGTTAGGTTGATGTGTTTTGTGATATCAAATGCCTTTTTTTTTTTGCCTCCTTTTCTTCGACCAACAAGTGAGACCCAGTCTGCTGTGAGTGCAAATCTGTATGTAGCACCGAACTCACTCACCTCTGTTTCAAATTCATTCGCCATGACAGTAGAGCGCTTGATAGCCCACAGCTGCCCCTGTGGCGACACACCCTTGTACACAACACCAAAGCCTCCCTTGCCCAGCTGATTCTCCTTTGCCCAGTTGTTTGTCGCCTTCACCATCTCCTGCAGCGTGTACTGCTCACACACGTCCAGCCCCTCCCACTTCCCTGCCAGCACACAAGGCGTGCATGCAGAGCTGTTAACGAAAGGAGGGGGATGGCTAGGGTTGGATAAAACCTACAGCGTCTGGGGCAGAGGAAGAAATGGGATGGATGGATGGATGGATTATATGGTATTGCTTTTTTTGTATGCAAGAGGAGAGAGAGATGCAGGGGACGGGTCAGCAGGGTTGGAGGTCTCACTCTCTTTGCGGGGCCACAGCACAGCACCCATGTGAGTATAGCGAGCTGACTTGTGAGTCGACTCAAAAGTCAGCTCGGGTTGGAAGTCTTAATCAGTTTGCGATTTCTTAGGCGCCTCAAAAGGGTTGGAGGTCTCACTCTGTTTGCGGGGCCACAGCACCCATGCGAGTATAGCGGCCAGCAGAGTGAAGCCAGCAAAGCAGCCCACGGCAATGCCTACTATGGCTCCCGTGGAGAGGGAAGAAACTGTAACAGGGGGAAGGGGAAGGGTGGGGACAGCAGAATAAAGAGTCAGGTTAGTGTCAGAATATAGAGCCAGAATATAGTGTGAGGGAGATAGTGTGAGGGAGACAGTGTGAGGGAGGCAGTGTGAGGGAGGCAGTGTGAGGGAGCTATGGTAGTGGAGCTATGGCTCACCTTTGGTGGTGGTGGTGGTGTTAAAAACAGCACAGGTAGAGCTATTGCCTAGGTCAACAGCGGAGACAGTGCAGGGAGTGCGACCGCATGACTGTGCAAGTGAGCTATGGTGGTAAACCGTGGAGCTGTGGCTCACCCTCCGTGGTGGTGGTGTTAACAACAGCACAGGTAGAGCCGTTGCCCAAGTCAACAGCAGAGTAGCCGGCATGGCAGAGGCAGGTGAAGTTGGAGGAGCGGGAGGAGGTGGGGGCAGGTGGCACGCACTCCCCATGGCCGTCACACGGGCCGTTGTCCGTGATGCTGCAGAACGCCTGGCAGGCTGCCGTGCTGCGCTGGGTGGCGTTGGAAGGGCAGTCCGAATCCAGGCTGAGGGTCAGGCAGTTCCCCGCCAGACTCACCCTCGCGCCCTTCCCTGCCTCCGCCACTGAGTAATCTTTCTTTGCAGATATGCCGCTAACGCACTTCCCGGCCCCGTCACCAGAACTGGTATCCCCCAGCACAAGGTTGTTGGGCTCGTTGATTTCAACCGGGCAGATCTGGCAGCCGGCAGCAAAGAGCACTGCATCACCAAAGAAGAAGTTGTGAGCCAAGTTGATGAGGGCGTCTCCATCTGCCACCATGTTCCTGAAGTTGCGGTTGATGCGCCCGTACAGGCTGTTGTTGCTCACATCGCTGCGGTGCGGTGTGGTGCGGTGTGGGAGGGTTGAGTTGGGGGTGGTTATTATGGGAGGTGACTGGTGCAATGCAGGTTGTGCGAGGGCAGCTGCTGCTTTGTGGTTTGAGATACAGAGTCACGAGATGCAAGAGTGGGACCATGAGTGGGCGCATGTGTGAGGACGAAGCGACAAGCACAGCAGCACGAGTATCGCACAGACTAGGTTGGGTAACAACATGCTGACACCCAGAGCCACTAGTTGCTGTTCGTACAACACAAGTGGCTTGCACATTATCAAGCTGAGACATGCAAGAGCGAAAGAAGCATTTGAGAGCTCACATATGGTTCACACATTTGTTGAAGAGACTCTGCCTTTTGAAACGTCTCAAAAGTAAGTTGCATTTTGAGACGTCTCAAAAGTAAGTAGGGACTCACATTTGGTTCACACATTTGTTGAAGAGGCAATCTGGAAGGGGCCCATAGAGGCGGTTGTTGCTCGCCATGCTGCCACCAAACCAGCAGGCACATCACAAAAACACATTTTATCAAACATCCCAGGCAGGAGACGACTTACGAGGTGCCTCAAAAGCCTGCAGGCACATCAACAACACCCTATTTAGAGCACATGCAGTAAAAATGTAGGTAGGCTCTTCCCATAGGCATCACAGCAAGGGGAAGTGATGGCTCTGGGGAATGCGAGAACGGCTGTATGCAAACAGGTTTGTTGATGGAAGTGACACAGAATAGGGGGTTGAAAAAGGAAAAGGTGTTGGCTTGGGTCCAGGTGAAGAGGTCACATGCGCCACAGCCACTCACATGCGCCACAGCCACTCACATGCGCCACAGGAAGGGCAGCGAGCAGATGGCAGATGGGAGAGGGCCCTCGATGCTGTTGTTGTCCAGCCAGCTGTGAGGGGGGGGCAGGCAGGGAGGGAGCGGCATGGTGCATGTGGGTATGGCGAAAGGGGCTGTAGGTGTCTGTCTGAATGACAGCAGGGACAGATTGGTGACAGACCGGATAACACACAGCCATTGTAGCGAGGTGACTTTTGAGTGACCGACTCAAAAGTCACCTTGGTTTCTGAATGACAGCATGGATAGATTGGTGACAGACCGAAGGACGCACAGCCAGACACACAGGTTGATGGACGGATGCAGGAAAGCATGGAGAGACGAGGACAGACAGCAGAGGAAACACTGAGAGGCGGGGGCAGGCAGCAGAGAAATAGAGGAAGAGAGGAAGAGAGGAAGAGAGGAAGAGAGGAAGAGAGGAAGAGAGGAAGAGAGGAAGAGAGGAAGAGAGGAAGAGAGGAAGAGAGGAAGGGAGGAAGAGAGGAAGAGAGGAAGAGAGGAAGAGAGGAAGAGAGGAAGAGAGGAAGAGAGGAAGAGAGGAAGAGAGGAAGGGAGGAAGAGAGGGATCTCACAGCTGTTCCAGCTTCTGCAGTTGGCTGATGTCAGATGGCAGACTGCCGCTGAGATGGTTGTTGGCCAGATAGCTGTATGGGAGGTTCAGAGGGACGGCACAGCAGATGGGTTTGAGTTGAATCAACGTCTTCAGTTGGATGATGTCTGATGGCAGACTGCTGCGGAGATGGTTGTTGGCCAGATAGCTGTATGGGAGGGCCGCAACAACAGGGAGCAACAGTGTGCGGAAGAATGGCCGGTTGGGATAATGTGTATGAACCACAACTGAAGGGGGTGATTGTTGGTTTGGTTCCTATCATCTTTACAGCGTACGAGTGATTTGTAGACAGATAATTGATATTAGCAGGGAATAGAGACTCACATACATGAAATAGAGACTCACATACATGAAATAGAGACTCACATACATGGAATAGAGACTCACAGAGAATAGAGACTCACATACATGAAATAGAGACTCACATACATGGAATAGAGACTCACAGAGAATAGAGACTCACATACATGAAATAGAGACTCACATACATGAAATAGAGACTCACATACATGAAATAGAGACTCACAGGGAATCGAGACTCTCAGAAAAACGAGGCTCACAGGAACTTGAGATTGGTCATGTTGAAGATGGAAGCTGGAATGGAACCCGAGAGCTGGTTGTTGTTGAAAACGCTGCGTGGGGCAAGCAAGGCAAGAGGTGTAAAGCTGAAACTGGCATGCATGTAGCACAGGGAGACTGGCAGCATGTAGCAGAGAGAGACTGGCAGCATGTAGCAGAGACTGGGAGTGCAACGCGCACCCACGCTGCCAGTAACACCTGCTGCTGCTGCTGTGTGGTGATTTCTGTCGCATGGCATGGCAGCATGCCACATGATGGCATGCCGTCTCAGCAGACAAATTCTCGACAAATCAGTTGCACACTATGCATGTATGTATCCCACTGCGAATATCATTCTACACACGCTGATCATCCCGTTGCAAGTGCCATAGATTACGGATATCGTGCTATTACATTGAATCGAGAGTGGTCAGAGTGGAGATGGAATCGGGCATCGATCCTGTGAAGTTGTTGTTGCTGAGGTCCCTGAACAAAAACACACACGTAATGCAAGGGTTGAGTTGAGAGATTATGAGAGGCACCAACATCAAGTCAGTCAGTCAGTCAAACGGCACATTTCCTTCATGTACACCTCCTATATACACCTCATAATTGTCATGGGTTCCTCATTCTAACCATTGTTCGCTGGATTGCCTACTCGACCTTGTCCACAGGGCCTACTCAATGAAAGGACCATTAGAGGGAGAAAGAGAAAGGGGCTGACATACAGGCTCCTCAGGCTGACATTCCAGCGAGCAAAATTCGGTAAGGTGCCTGTAAGACCGTTACCCTCCAGAGCACTACAGGACAGCAAAGAACAGAGCAAACAAAGGCAGGGCACGAGAGCGACAGGGAGCGGCAGGGATATACACCAGACGTACAGGCTCCTCAGGCTGACATTCCAGCGAGCGAAATTCGGTAAGGTGCCTGTCAGGCCGTTACCCTCCAGAGCACTACAGGACAGGAGACAGGAGTAGAAACAATGGGAGAGCGCAAGAGCGGCAAGAGTCAAAGAGGGGTTAATACCGAAGTGAGTGGGAACACGAAACTACAGCAAGGGCATGTGATGGGATGGTTGCAGTGCAGCGCAGAGAGGCATACAACTTGTCCTTATGGGATGGGAAACTGGCAGTGCACGAGCGTGGTACTGAGGTTCTCCTAATAGGCAAACCCTGTGTCTTTTGAGTCGACTCAACAAACAAGCACAGCTCGAGTGTGGGACTCAGGTTCTTACGATAGGCAAACCCTGCTGCGCTCGTGAAAGCTCGTGAAAGTGCTGAAAGCACGTGGCAGTTCTCACAGGAGTTCAAGAGTAGGTGACGCATTGAGCGGCACTGGAAGAACACCCGAGAAGAAGTTGTTGCCCACTTGCCTGCAGCAGGAGGGGGCATGGGAGAGGGGAGAGGGGAAGGGAAGGGGGTGGTGGTGGTGAGGGGTATGGGTATAGGAAATAGGAGGGACAAATTCTCACTCTCGCACACAGCAACTGGCCGGAATTTCACAATAAATGCACTGCATGTTGACCCCCTCTCACAACATGCACAGCTGATCGAGGCAGAAGCAAAGCTGGGAGGAGACGGGAAGGACAAAGCGAGAGGAGATGCAGGGAGGGAGTGAGGGGTACGCGAGGGGGAGAGAGGAGATTAAGTGAGAGGAGAGTGAGGGAAGGGAATTGAGGTGCGGGAGAGAAAGAGAGGTGAATGAGACAGAGATGTGAGCGGGGGAGAGAGAAGTGAGGGAGGAAAAAAAAACGTGATGGTTAAAGGAGAGAGAGTGAGAAACGCTAGTGAAAGCGATGGCAAAGGAAAAGGGAAGGTGAAAAGGGGAGAAAGAAGGGAAAGGCGGAGAGGGGAATGGTGGGTGGGAGTGAGAGGAACGGGGGGATGGCCAAGGAGGCTGTATGGCTGCCTAGCGGAAACTCACAGTGCAGAGAGGTGGGGCAGTTGAAACAGTTTAGGAGAAATCGACCCATGGAAACTGTTGTTCCTCAGGTCACTGGGCAGGAGATGGTGAATGATGGAAGGAGGAATTTGGGGAAACAGTGTGACACAGAAGAAAGGAGAATGACAGTGGTTTGATTTATTTTTTTTAAGTCGACTCAGAAAGAAGGGACTCTGTGTATTTCGATGGAACAGGCTGCGCATGCATGCTGGCCAGCCCAGGCCAGGGCCCGGCCCGGACGTGTCAGTAATGCTGCAGGTTGCTTTTGAGAATTTTCAAAAACAGCCTGCAGCGTCCGTAACGGACAGGTGGGCTGCACATGGCCAGGCCAGGCTAGGGCCCGGCCCTCAAACGAGCTCCCCACAACAAGAATCAACCCCCTATGTGGCCAGGCCAGGCCAGTCCAGGCTAGGGCCTGGCCCGGCCACCTCCAGGTCATGATGGCAAGAGGGTGACTTCTGAGACGCCCAGGACTGAGAACGACTTCTGAGACGTCCAGGACTGAGAACGACTTCTGAGACGTCCAGGACTGAGAACGATTTCTGAGACGTCCAGGACTGAGAACGACTTCTGAGACGTCCAGGGCTGAGAACGACTTCTGAGACGTCCAGGACTGAGAACGACTTCTGAGACGTCCAGGGCTGAGAACGACTTCTGAGACGTCCAGGACTGAGAACGACTTCTAAGACGTCCAGGACTGAGAACGACTTCTAAGACGTCCAGGACTGAGAACGACTTCTGAGATGTCCAGGACTGAGAACGACGTCTGAGACGTCCAGGACTGAGAACGACTTCTGAGACGTCCAGGACTGAGAACGACTTCTGAGACGTCCAGGACTGAGAACGACTTCTGAGACGTCCAGGACTGAGAACGACTTCTGAGACGTCCAGGACTGAGAACGACTTCTGAGACGTCCAGGACTGAGAACGACGTCTGAGACGTCCAGGACTGAGAACGACTTCTGAGACGTCCAGGACTGAGAACGACTTCTGAGACGTCCAGGACTGAGAACGACTTCTGAGACGTCCAGGAATGAGAACGACTTCTGAGACGTCCAGGACTGAGAACGACTTCTGAGACGTCCAGGACTGAGAACGACTTCTGAGACGTCCAGGACTGAGAACGACTTCTGAGACGTCCAGGACTGAGAATGACTTCTGAGACGTCCAGGACTGAGAACGACTTCTGAGACGTCCAGGACTGAGAACGACTTCTGAGACGTCCAGGACTGAGAACGACTTCTGAGACGTCCAGGACTGAGAACGACTTCTGAGACGTCCAGGACTGAGAACGACTTCTCAGACGTCCAGGACTGAGAACGACTTCTGAGACGTCCAGGACTGAGAACGACTTCTGAGACGTCCAGGACTGAGAACGACTTCTCAGACGTCCAGGACTGAGAACGACTTTTGAGACGTCTCAAAAGTGGCCCGGCCAGCCGGGTCCCGATCTTTGATGGGGAGAGAGGGGCCAGGTCTATTTGACACGCAGAGGGAGGGCCAGACCAGATGGCTTATGACTGTACGTGGTGTGGTGTGGTGTGGTGTGGCTTCGGGATCTCAGCTATTCCATCATGAGTTTGGATGGGGAGAGAGGGGTTGGGACAGGTCTATTTCACATGCGAAGGGCTAAATGGCTTTTGACTGTACGTGGTGTGGGTGTGGCTTTAGGGATATCGACTCACTCCTGTCCCAGACGGTACGAGGGTACTCCTGGTTACAGTGATCCGTATCGCGTCTGAGACCAACAAGACATGTGACCCATCACTCACACGCGTGCCATCACTCACACGCGTGCCATCACTCACACGCGTGCCATCACTCACACGCGTGCCATCACTCACGTCTCACATGTGTGCCATCACTCGCAGTCTCACATGTGTGCCATCACATCACTCACATTTCTACTAGGTCAACAAGCTCTGTCAGCTGCTGGGGAATGGTTCCTGAGAAACTGTTGTTCCCCAAGTGCCTGCCATTTCCATGCCAAAACCGTGCAGAGATAACTTTCGGGGCGCCTCAAAAGTGGGATGCTTCCTGATAAACTTTTGTTCCCTAAGTGCCTGCCATTGCCATGCCGTGCCAAAACCACGCAGAGACAAGACGATCACCGAAATGAGCATGAAATGCTTGGCATGGGAAGAGAAACAGTGGCTCCAGTTCTTGAGGCACATCAAAAAGCGGCTTCACTTCCTTTTGCATGAAGCACCTCAAAAAGTGGCCCCACTTTTTTTCGCATGAGGCGTTAGGCACATGACTGGGGGCGAGTGGGTGGGAGCATGGCTTACAGTACTTGGAGGTTCCTGTGGGCTAGAAGAGATCGAGGAAAGGGCCCAGAGAAATGGTTGCTACCAATGTTTCTGCAAAGAATGGATGGAATGCACCGCCACGCCATGCACGAGAAGATGGTTACATGGACGTGCATTCATATTTTCATGGAAGTCCATAGGAAGAGCAGTATACACAAAGGAGCAGCACACACACGGAACAACGAGGAACAGCAGACATGAGGAACAACAGACAAGTGGAACAGCAGACACGGGGAGCAGTGGGGAACAACGCACGGACAGGCAGGAAAGGGAAACCTCACATGGACGAGAGGCTATCGAAGGCCGAGAAGGACATTGGAACGGCACCCGAGAAGTTGTTGCTGTGGAGGGATCTGCGTGGCATGCGTTGGAGAGGAGAGCATGGTTTGGATGGAGTAGGGAGGAAGCAAAGGGGGAAAGCAATGAGGCGTGAAGGACACCGGAATGACACCTGAGAAGGTGTTACTGTCAAGGGACCTGGGTGTGTGTGGTATGGAATTTGGATCCGAGGGGGCCCGAAGGCATTGTTAGGGAGAAAACAAAGGGAGGAGAGCAGCAAGGAATGAATTGAGCAGAGTAAAAAGGCAAGATGAAAGGAGCAAGGAGGACTTGAGGAGAAACGGCAAGTAGGCAGGCAGGGAGCAAGTTTCATGTCGGGAGTAGCAGCAAACTTAGAGAAAACGCTAAGCAGAATGGTGGCAGGCAGGCAGGGAGGCAGGCAGGGTTACCACATCACTCAAAATGGTGTGTGAAACATGTCATTTCTGAGTCGACTCAAAACACGAGTGGCAGGTAGAGAAACAGGACAACTCACATGTCTGTGAGCCATGTCATTTGAGCGACCACTTCCAGTCCTCCAGTCAGACTGTTGTTGGACAAAGACCTGGGGTTTCAAGGTGGCGTGGAGTGGTGCAGATGTTGGGAAACGCGGTGCAGTGCGATGAAGGAGGAGTGTATGTGGCATGGGTTGTGCGATGCGTGGTGTGGTGGTGCGATGAAGACAAGCATGGAGTGGGTTTAAGGGCGAGGAGCAGAACAAGGTTCTGAGGCATGTTGTGAGTCGACTCAAAACGCGTCGGTTAAAGGGCGAGGAGCAGAATAAAGTTTTGAAGGAACGAGGTGTGGGCGAGCTAGGGATTGAGATGTGAAGGAACAATAAACCCCACTTACATGGGGTAATGGGTGTTAAAGTGGGGTCACAAGAAGCAATGCAATTCAGTTCAGACAACCCACTTACAGGCTGGAAGAAATGATAAGACGGGTAGACAGACATCATACAGACAGGCAGAAGATGCACAGACAGGCAGAGGGGACATCATAAAGACGGACAGACATCATATCAGACAGGGATGGAACGCACAGACTGCTGACACCAGTGAGGCGTGTGAAGGTGGAGGGAATGGCTCCTGTAAAGAGATTGTCAGACAGAGCCCTGCAAGCACGCATGGCAGGCGAACGGATGGCGGGTGGACAGTGGGACAATTTTTTTTTTAAGATGGTTTACATAACAGGAATCAAACGATTACCAAAAGTGAGCTGAGAAAAACACGTGACGAGATTGTCAGACAGAGACATGTGCGCATGGCAGGCAGACGGGTGTTGGGTGGTGTGGGGTCCACGGTCTCAAGAAAAAGGGCTGAGAAGAGAACGGTAGAGAGAGAATAACAGGCCAAGGGGACGACGAGGGTGCAACGAGGAGATGCAAAGTGTGGCCGGGCCGAAGTAGGAGCTTCGGTGAGGATGAAGAGCAGATAGGTCGCATGTGGCAGGGATGGAGCAGGGATGGAGCAGGGATGGAGCAGGGATGGGGCAGGGATGGATCAGGGATGGAGCAGGGATGGAGCAGGGATGGAGCAGGGATGGGGCAGGGATGGAGCAGGGATGGAGCAGGGATGGAGCAGGGATGGAGCAGGGATGGGGCAGGGATGGAGCAGGGATGGAGCAGGGATGGAGCAGGGATGGGGCAGGGATGGGGCAGGGATGGAGCAGGGATGGAGCAGGGATGGAGCAGGGATGGGGCAGGGATGGGGCAGGGATGGGGCAGGGATGGGGCAGGGATGGGGCAGGGATGGAGCAGGGATGGAGCAGGGATGGGGCAGGGATGGAGCAGGGATGGGGCAGGGATGGAGCAAGGATGGAGCAGGGATGGAGCAGGGATGGAGCAGGGATGGGGCAGGGATGGAGCAGGGATGGGGCAGGGATGGGGCAGGGATGGGGCAGGGATGGGGCAGGGATGGAGCAGGGATGGAGCAGGGATGGAGCAGGGATGGGGCAGGGATGCGGCAGGGATGGGGCAGGGATGGGGCAGGGATGGGGCAGGGATGGAGCAGGGATGGAGCAGGGATGGAGCAGGGATGGGGCAGGGATGGGGCAGGGATGGAGCAGGGATGGAGCAGGGATGGAGCAGGGATGGAGCAGGTATGGAGCAGGGATGGAGCAGGGATGGAGCAGGGATGGGGCAGGGATGGGGCAGGGATGGAGCAGGGATGGAGCAGGGATGGAGCAGGGATGGAGCAGGGATGGGGCAGGGATGGAGCAGGGATGGGGCAGGGATGGAGCAGGGATGGAGCAGGGATTGAGCAGGGATGGAGCAGGGATGGAGCAGGGATGGAGCAGGGATGGGGCAGGGATGGGGCAGGGATGGAGCAGGGATGGAGCAGGGATGGAGCATGGATGGAGCAGGGATGGAGCAGGGATGGAGCAGGGATGGGGCAGGGATGGGGCAGGGATGGAGCAGGGATGGAGCAGGGATGGAGCAGGGATGGAGCAGGAATGGAGCAGGGATGGGGCAGGGATGGGGCAGGGATGGGGCAGGGATGGGGCAGGGATGGAGCAGGGATGGAGCAGGGATGGAGCAGGGATGGGGCAGGGATGGAGCAGGGATGGAGCAGGGATGGGGCAGGGATGGGGCAGGGATGGAGCAGGGATGGAGAAGGGATGGAGCAGGGATGGAGCAGGGATGGGGCAGGGACGGAGCAGGGACGGGGCAGGGATGGGGCAGGGATGGAGCAGGGATGGAGCAGGGATGGAGCAGGGATGGAGCAGGGATGGAGCAGGGATGGGGCAGGGATGGAGCAGGGATGGAGCAGGGATGGAGCAGGGATGGGGCAGGGATGGGGCAGGGATGGAGCAGGGATGGAGCAGGGATGGAGCAGGGATGGAGCAGGGATGGGGCAGGGATGGGGCAGGGATGGGGCAGGGATGGGGCAGGGATGGGGCAGGGATGGAGCAGGGATGGAGCAGGGATGGGGCAGGGATGGAGCAGGGATGGGGCAGGGATGGAGCAAGGATGGAGCAGGGATGGAGCAGGGATGGAGCAGGGATGGGGCAGGGATGGAGCAGGGATGGGGCAGGGATGGGGCAGGGATGGGGCAGGGATGGGGCAGGGATGGAGCAGGGATGGAGCAGGGATGGAGCAGGGATGGGGCAGGGATGCGGCAGGGATGGGGCAGGGATGGGGCAGGGATGGGGCAGGGATGGAGCAGGGATGGAGCAGGGATGGGGCAGGGATGGGGCAGGGATGGAGCAGGGATGGAGCAGGGATGGAGCAGGGATGGAGCAGGTATGGAGCAGGGATGGAGCAGGGATGGAGCAGGGATGGGGCAGGGATGGGGCAGGGATGGAGCAGGGATGGAGCAGGGATGGAGCAGGGATGGGGCAGGGATGGAGCAGGGATGGGGCAGGGATGGAGCAGGGATGGAGCAGGGATTGAGCAGGGATGGAGCAGGGATGGAGCAGGGATGGAGCAGGGATGGGGCAGGGATGGGGCAGGGATGGAGCAGGGATGGAGCAGGGATGGAGCAGGGATGGAGCAGGAATGGAGCAGGGATGGGGCAGGGATGGGGCAGGGATGGGGCAGGGATGGGGCAGGGATGGAGCAGGGATGGAGCAGGGATGGAGCAGGGATGGGGCAGGGATGGAGCAGGGATGGAGCAGGGATGGGGCAGGGATGGGGCAGGGATGGAGAAGGGATGGAGAAGGGATGGAGCAGGGATGGAGCAGGGATGGGGCAGGGACGGAGCAGGGACGGGGCAGGGATGGGGCAGGGATGGAGCAGGGATGGAGCAGGGATGGAGCAGGAATGGAGCAGGGATGGAGCAGGGATGGAGCAGGGATGGGGCAGGGATGGGGCAGGGATGGAGCAGGGATGGAGCATAGGGCAGGGATGGAGCAGGGATGGAGCAGGGATGGAGCAGGGATGGAGCAGGGATGGGGCAGGGATGGGGCAGGGATGGGGCAGGGATGGAGCAGGGATGGAGCAGGGATGGAGCAGGGATGGGGCAGGGATGGAGCAGGGATGGAGCAGGGATGGGGCAGGGATGGCGCAGGGATGGAGCAGGGATGGAGCAGGGATGGAGCAGGGATGGAGCAGGGATGGAGCAGGGATGGAGCAGGGATGGGGCAGGGATGCGGCAGGGATGGGGCAGGGATGGGGCAGGGATGGAACAGGGATGGATCAGGGATGGAGCAGGGATGGGGCAGGGATGGGGCAGGGATGGAGCAGGGATGGAGCAGGGATGGAGCAGGGATGGAGCAGGGATGGATCAGGGATGGAGCAGGGATGGAGCAGGGATGGAGCAGGGATGGAGCAGGGATGGAGCAGGGATGGAGCAGGGATGGGGCAGGGATGGAGCAGGGATGGGGCAGGGATGGAGCAGGGATGGAGCAGGGATTGAGCAGGGATGGAGCAGGGATGGAGCAGGGATGGAGCAGGGATGGGGCAGGGATGGGGCAGGGATGGAGCAGGGATGGAGCAGGGATGGAGCAGGGATGGAGCAGGAATGGAGCAGGGATGGGGCAGGGATGGGGCAGGGATGGGGCAGGGATGGGGCAGGGATGGAGCAGGGATGGAGCAGGGATGGAGCAGGAATGGGGCAGGGATGGAGCAGGGATGGAGCAGGGATGGGGCAGGGATGGGGCAGGGATGGAGCAGGGATGGAGAAGGGATGGAGCAGGGATGGAGCAGGGATGGGGCAGGGACGGAGCAGGGACGGGGCAGGGATGGGGCAGGGATGGAGCAGGGATGGAGCAGGGATGGAGCAGGGATGGAGCAGGGATGGAGCAGGGATGGAGCAGGGATGGGGCAGGGATGGAGCAGGGATGGAGCAGGGATGGAGCAGGGATGGGGCAGGGATGGGGCAGGGATGGAGCAGGGATGGAGCAGGGATGGAGCAGGGATGGAGCAGGGATGGGGCAGGGATGGGGCAGGGATGGGGCAGGGATGGGGCAGGGATGGGGCAGGGATGGAGCAGGGATGGAGCAGGGATGGGGCAGGGATGGAGCAGGGATGGGGCAGGGATGGAGCAAGGATGGAGCAGGGATGGAGCAGGGATGGAGCAGGGATGGAGCAGGGATGGAGCAGGGATGGGGCAGGGATGGGGCAGGGATGGGGCAGGGATGGGGCAGGGATGGGGCAGGGATGGAGCAGGGATGGAGCAGGGATGGGGCAGGGATGCGGCAGGGATGCGGCAGGGATGGGGCAGGGATGGGGCAGGGATGGGGCAGGGATGGAGCAGGGATGGAGCAGGGATGGGGCAGGGATGGGGCAGGGATGGAGCAGGGATGGAGCAGGGATGGAGCAGGGATGGAGCAGGTATGGAGCAGGGATGGAGCAGGGATGGAGCAGGGATGGGGCAGGGATGGGGCAGGGATGGAGCAGGGATGGAGCAGGGATGGAGCAGGGATGGGGCAGGGATGGAGCAGGGATGGGGCAGGGATGGAGCAGGGATGGAGCAGGGATTGAGCAGGGATGGAGCAGGGATGGAGCAGGGATGGAGCAGGGATGGGGCAGGGATGGGGCAGGGATGGAGCAGGGATGGAGCAGGGATGGAGCAGGGATGGAGCAGGAATGGAGCAGGGATGGGGCAGGGATGGGGCAGGGATGGGGCAGGGATGGGGCAGGGATGGAGCAGGGATGGAGCAGGGATGGAGCAGGGATGGGGCAGGGATGGAGCAGGGATGGAGCAGGGATGGGGCAGGGATGGGGCAGGGATGGAGAAGGGATGGAGAAGGGATGGAGCAGGGATGGAGCAGGGATGGGGCAGGGACGGAGCAGGGACGGGGCAGGGATGGGGCAGGGATGGAGCAGGGATGGAGCAGGGATGGAGCAGGAATGGAGCAGGGATGGAGCAGGGATGGAGCAGGGATGGGGCAGGGATGGGGCAGGGATGGAGCAGGGATGGAGCATAGGGCAGGGATGGAGCAGGGATGGAGCAGGGATGGAGCAGGGATGGAGCAGGGATGGGGCAGGGATGGGGCAGGGATGGGGCAGGGATGGAGCAGGGATGGAGCAGGGATGGAGCAGGGATGGGGCAGGGATGGAGCAGGGATGGAGCAGGGATGGGGCAGGGATGGCGCAGGGATGGAGCAGGGATGGAGCAGGGATGGAGCAGGGATGGAGCAGGGATGGAGCAGGGATGGAGCAGGGATGGGGCAGGGATGCGGCAGGGATGGGGCAGGGATGGGGCAGGGATGGAACAGGGATGGATCAGGGATGGAGCAGGGATGGGGCAGGGATGGGGCAGGGATGGAGCAGGGATGGAGCAGGGATGGAGCAGGGATGGAGCAGGGATGGATCAGGGATGGAGCAGGGATGGAGCAGGGATGGAGCAGGGATGGAGCAGGGATGGAGCAGGGATGGAGCAGGGATGGGGCAGGGATGGAGCAGGGATGGGGCAGGGATGGAGCAGGGATGGAGCAGGGATGGAGAAGGGATGGAGCAGGGATGGGGCAGGGATGGAGCAGGGATGGGGCAGGGATGGAGCAGGGATGGAGCAGGGATGGAGCAGGGATGGAGCAGGGATGGGGCAGGGATGGGGCAGGGATGGAGCAGGGATGGAGCAGGGATGGAGCAGGGATGGAGCAGGAATGGGGCAGGGATGGGGCAGGGATGGGGCAGGGATGGGGCAGGGATGGAGCAGGGATGGAGCAGGGGGATGGAGCAGGGATGGAGCAGGGATGGAGCAGGGATGGGGCAGGGATGGGGCAGGGATGGAGCAGGGATGGAGCAGGGATGGAGCAGGGATGGAGCAGGGATGAAGCAGGGATGGAGCAGGGATGGAGCAGGGATGGAGCAGGGATGGGGCAGGGATGGAGCAGGGATGGAGCAGGGATGGAGCAGGGATGGGGCAGGGATGGAGCAGGGATGGGGCAGGGATGGAGCAGGGATGGGGCAGGGATGGAGCAGGGATGGAGCAGGGATGGAGCAGGGATGGAGCAGGGATGGGGCAGGGATGGGGCAGGGATGGAGCAGGGATGGGGCAGGGATGGGGCAGGGATGGAGCAGGGATGGAGCAGGGATGGAGCAGGGATGGAGCAGGGATGGGGCAGGGATGGGGCAGGGATGGAGCAGGGACGGGGCAGGGATGGGGCAGGGATGGAGCAGGGATGGAGCAGGGATGGAGCAGGGATGGAGCAGGGATGGAGCAGGGATGGAGCAGGGATGTGGCGGCACTCACAGGTCTATGAGGCTGGGCAATGCAAGGTGTGGTGGGATGCGACCGTCAAAGGCATTGTAGCTTAGAGTCCTGCATGAGAGAGCGAGCAGGTGGGTGGGAACGAGCAGGTGGGTGGGGTGGGAGCGAGCAGGTGGGTGAAAACGAGCAGGTGGGTGGGGTCGGAGCGAGCAGGTGGGTGGGGTGAGAAAGAGCAGGTGAGTGAGTGAGGATGTGCAAAGAGTGCAGATAGAGATATGCAAGAGTGAGATGCAACTGGAACGCATGAAGGGTAAGGAAAGATAGGGTATGTGGAAATGTGTTAGACTGAGAGAGGCCTTACAGTGAGTGAGTGGGGTGGGGTGGGGAGAAAGTGGGAGACACCAACAATGTCTCAATGTTGGTGGCGAATGCTTGCGGTATTTCCCCAGACAAATAGTTCCAAGACAGATCGCTGCAAGGGAGTACGAAGACAAGTTTGAAACAGAAAGAAGGAATTTTATGCATACGCACATGAAATGGCGACATCACACAGCTGTGACATCACACTGCTGTGACATCACACAGCTGTGACATCACACAGCTGTGACATCACACAGCTGTTGCCAGCCAGCCAGCCAGCCAGCCAGCCAGCCAACCGAGGCCGGCCGGCCGACCGACCGACCGACCGACTGACCGACCGACCAACCAACCTACAGCAGCAGTAGCCTCTGCTGCAATCGCACGGACTCCTCGAAGGACCTTCTTGAAGGGCTGTGGTGACTTTTGAGTCGACTCATAAGTCACCTCATATTCGCGGACCTCCCCGAAGGTCTACGGCTGCTGAGCAGCCTCTGTTGCAATGAGGCGAAATTCCTCCAGAGCATGATAGGGCAGGGAGAACAGCACTCACAGTGAAGTGAGGGCGGTGAGTGCAGAGAGCGTTTCTGGTATGTCGCCCTGCGACAGATCGCTGCAGCAGCGGAGAGAAGACGAGAACAACACTCACAGTGAAGTGAGGGCAGTGAGTGCAGAAAACGTTTCTGGGATGTCGCCCTGCAGGTGGTTCGAGGACAGATCGCTGCAGCAGTGGAGAGAGAGAAGATGGCGGGAGAAAAGATGTTGGAGGTGAACTGGTGGGGACGAATTGGCCGGAACGAATTGGTGGGGACGAATTGGTGCACTGGTAGCGCAGGAGGTGCTGCTGATGCACTCAGGCAGGCACTCGGATCCGATGTGAGCAGGGAACGGAGAAAGACAGCGACTTTTGAGTCGGCTCAAAAGTCATCCGATGTGAGTGCAGAGAACGTTTCTCGTATGGTATGTCACCCTGTAGGTGGTTGGAGGACACATTGCTAGTGAACGCATTGCATCTATCTGTGACTCACAGCTCTTCCAGGTTGACCAGAGTTGACCAGCTTTTGGGAAGGCCGCCCTCCAAGTTGTTTCCAGCAAGTGTTCTGCAACCAGATCCATTGGCATTGGGGGAAAGGCAAGTATGAAACAGAAGATTTGGGAAGGAAAGGGGGGAGGGGGGAGTGAATGAAGAATGACAACTAAAATGCCGCACTACGGTTTGGACCTATTCCAAAATTATGAAGGAAAATCAGGCCACCTTAGGGCGAGTTTTAGCAGGGAAGAGAAGACAAGGCGGCAAAAGAAAACGATTACCTTTAATTCATGAATATAGCATTGTTGCGTGCTTCCACAACATGAAAATGCTTCCCCTGCCCATCACAAAAACAGCATCCGCTCACCAGACCAGAGCATTCTGTTTCTGAGGCGCCAATGGGTGCAGTTTTGAGCAGAGGAAAGCACGCTCTGTTCTACTCACAGGCTGGTGAGGGCTGTGAGCTCAGACATGCCAATGGAACCCCACTTAGGAGGCATGACTTTGCGTGGCAGCAGCTTGTTTAGTAAAAAATGTTTTTGTGTTGGTAGGCTTGCTTAAGACCTTTGTAGAAAAAATCTCACAGGCTGGTGAGGTCTGTGAGCTCAGACATGCCTTCAGGCAGCAAGCCCTGCCGCCTTGGCTCGTCATTGCGCAAGTTTCTGCGCACGTGCATGGCGCAAGCACGCACAATGGCACAGACATAAGGCACAAGCACGCACGGAGGCACAGACGAATGCGGTCAGCTCAGTTGATAAGAGTGTGTGGGAGGGAGGGAGACTGTAACGCTTTCAATCCGAATTTCGTATGGCAGGAACCACTGGGCTGGGAGTGAAAGGAGTTAGCGAGGGAGTTGCGAAAACGGGGAAGAGGGAAGAGGGAAGAGGGAAGAGGGAAGAGGGAAGAGGGAAGAGGGAAGAGGAAAACCTTACAGGTACTGAAGGTTGGAGAGCTGGGTAACCCACTTGGGAAAGTCCAAGGCACGAAGGTATGCCAGGTCACTTGACGGGGCCGGAAGGGGGGGGAGTCACGAGAAGAGGGGAAGAGGGGAGAGAAGGAGCTCACAGGTACTGGAGGTTGGAGATCTGAGTGACCCGCTTGGGGAAGTCCAATGCACGGAGGTATGCCAGGTCACTTGGGGGAGCCCGGAGGGGGAGGGAAGGACAGGGGAGAGTGGGGGGGGAAGGGGAGAGGGAGGGTGGAAAACACAATGCCAGGAGAAGAAAAACATGAACGGTGGAAGAACTGTGGATACTAGTAGTGCAGATTGCACAGTGCACAGTGCAAGGAGTGGGATGTGGAGGGCAGAAGGGTGCACAGCACGGCGCATAGTGCAAACAAAGGAGAGAAGGATACCTGCTCAAGGGAACCTGCAATGCAAGCAGGGTAGTCATGTGCAGCTTATAGGGCGATAAGGACAGTTAAGTGAAGTATCAGAATAGATATTTGAGTCTACTCAAAGTTGTCTCATCACACGCAGGCACCAGACTTGAGGAGAATCATGTGAGGGCAAGTGGGACTGCAGGGAAGTCATGTGCAGCTTACAGGGTGATAAGGACAGTCAAGTCAAGTATCAGATATTTGAGTCTACTAAAAAATTCATTCCATCACACGCAGTTACAATACAAGCAGGGCAATCATGTGCAGCTTACAGGGAAGTGAGGGCAGTCAGGTATCGGATTTCCCTGGGAATTTCCCCTGTTGCATTCGTGAGGCCGGTGATCGTTCTGCAGAGGGGCGCACAGACAGAGATGTGGAGTACAGAACGCTTATGGAGGGGTTGAGTGGGCTTATGGAGGGGTTGAGTGGGCTTATGGAGGGGTTGAGTGGGCTTATAAAGGGTTGAGCTGGCTTGTGGAGGGGTTGAGCGGGATTATGAAGGGGTTGAGTGGGCTTATGGGGGGTGGTGAGAGTGGGCTTATGGAGGGGTTGAATTGCGCCACTAAATAGCCTACCGCCAACATGCATGTGTGTGAACGGGTTAAAGAAGGCACGAGAGACTATTGGAGGGAGGGGACGTGAGTGGAGGGAGGAGAGGTAAATGGAGGGAAGAGAGGAGAGAGAAAGGAGGTAAGAAGCGTGCATGAAAGCACAGTGTGAGACGAAATGACGACAATTTGTACTCTTAGGGTATGTTGCGGCGCTTACAAGTCCTGGAGGCTCTCCAGATGAGATAGAACTGCAAGGGAGGACAAGTCCCCTGTGAACAACGAGAGGTCAACGAGACCGCTGGTGGTGGGTGGTGGGCGCACAGAGGGAGAAAGTGGAGTGAGTGAGGAAAGAGGAGGGAAGAGAGAGCGAGTGGAGTGAGTGAGAAAAGAGGAGGGAAGAGAGAGCGCGTGGAGTGAGTGCGGATAGCGGAGGGAAAAGAAAGCGTGTAAAGTGAGTGAGCACACAGAGGGAGGGAAGGGAGAGCGATTGGAGCAAGAGAGCATATGGAGGAAGAGAAGAGAGAACGGGTGGAGGAAGAGAAGAGAGAACGGGTGGAGGGAGAGAAGAGAGAACGGGTGGAGGGAGAGAAGAGAGAACGGGTGGAGGGAGAGAAGAGAGAACGGGTGGAGGGAGAGAAGAGAGAACGGGTGGAGGGAGAGAAGAGAGAACGGGTGGAGGGAGAGAAGAGCGAACGGGTGGAGGGAGAGAAGAGAGAACGGGTGGAGGGAGAGAAGAGAGAACGGGTGGAGGGAGAGAGCATAACGAGGAAGCGGGGATGGATGCAAAGAGTGTGAGAATGCTTCACAGGGATGTAGAACGTAAGGAGTGTGCGTCACAGGGCTTTCTGTGATTTCCGGTGAGTGGCTTTTGAGGGGCCTCAAAAGTCGAACGTGAGGAGTGTGCGTCACAGGGCTTTCTGGGATTTCCAGTGGGTGGGGCCATGCAGAGCCATGTGTGAAGTCTGCAGGGCGAACAGTTTGTGTATGTGTAATGGGGGGAGTGGGTGGGAGGAGGAGGGGGGAGGATGTGTGTGTGCGTGTGTGCGTGTGTGTGTTTGTGTGTGTGTTTGTGTGTGTGCAGGTAGGTCATAGAACGAACGAACGAACGAACGAATGAACGAATGAATGAATGAATGAATGAATGAATGAATGAATGAATGAATGGATGAATGCATGGATGGATGGATGGATGGATGGATGGATGGATGGATGAATGCATGGATGGATGGATGGATGGATGGATGGATGGATGGATGGATGGATGGATCATGGATGGATGGATGGATGGATGGATGGATGGATGGATGGATGGATGCATGCATGAATGAACGAATGAATGCATGAATGAATGAATGAATGAATGAATGAATGAATGAATGAATGAATGAATGGATGGATGGATGCATGCATGAACGAATGAATGCATGAATGAATAAATGAATGAATGAATGAATGAATGAATGAATGAATGAATGGATGAATGCAAGGATGGATGGATGGATGGATGGATGGATGGATGGATGGATGGATCATGGATGGATGGATGGATGGATGGATGGATGGATGGATGGATGGATGGATGGATGGATGGATGGATGCATGCATGAATGAACGAATGAATGCATGAATGAATGAATGAATGAATGAATGAATGAATGAATGAATGAATGAATGGATGGATGGATGGATGCATGCATGAACGAATGAATGCATGAATGAATAAATGAATGAATGAATGAATGAATGAATGAATGAATGAATGAATGAATGAATGAATGAATGAATGAATGAATGGATGGATGGATGGATGGATGGATGGATGGATGGATTGGATGGATGGATGGATGGATGCATGGATGGATGGATGGATGCATGCATGCATGCATGAATGAATGAATGAATGAATGAATGAATGAATGAATGAATGAATGAATGAATGAATGAATGGATGAACGAATGAATGAATGGATGAATGAATGAAGGGCGTACAGCGTGTGCAGGCGGGGAAGGGAGGAAAGCCAGGAGAGTCCGTCCAGAGTGCCAGTCAGCCTGCAACCATCCAATCCTATGTATCTGCGGGACAGAAGCACACAAGCAATGGGGCGGGATGGCTTTTGAGTCAAATCAAAAGGGAGGAGAGCCATGAGAGTCCGTCCAGAGTGCCAGTCAGCCTGCCACCATCCAATCCTATGTATCTGCGGGACAGAAGCACACAGGCAATGGGGCGGGACGGCTTTTGAGTCGACTCAAAAGGGAGGAGAGCCATGAGAGTCCGTCCAGAGTGCCAGTCAGCCACCCTGCTCCCTCCCTACCCCCTCCCTTCCCTCCCTCCTGTCCCCTCTCTGCATCCATCCGTTTCTGTGAAACCCATTCGCCCCCATTGCATGTGTGCTTCTTTCTCTTAACTAGATAGGAGCGGATGGTTGCAGGCTGACTGGAATCTTTTTTGTCGACTCAATTATAGACTCATCATGCGCCCCCATGACCTGTGTGCTTCTGTCTCGCAGATACATAGGGTTGGATGCAGAAAAGAGCATGGACTACAAGAGCACATGGTCATGAGTCGTGACTTAAGAGGGAGGACACTGACATGACAATGACAGATCTTCCCTGCATGCAATAAGAAATAGGTGTGGTTGCTGGTAGCGAAGAGTGGACCGTTCTACGCGTGTACTGCAGAAAGGGTGTTGTTTCTGAACCCATGGAAAAGGGGTGCGTACTGGTGGGTGAGCCTGGTGAGCCTGGCAAGGGAGTTTTGAGATGTCTCAAAACTCTAAAAACTTGAGACGTCTCAAAACTCTAAAAACTTGAGACGTCTCAACAAACGTACAGGTGGGTGAGGCGGGTGAGGCTGGCAAGGGATGGAATGGTCCCCTCCAGATTAACATAGCTGAGATCACTGTGGGCATGGGAAGGCAGGAAAGGAAGAGGGCAGGTGGATGAAAGAAGGGGAGAAGGAAATATGTATGGGAAGGGCAGTTGGATGGAAAGAAGAGGGTTTCAAGTGATGGGCGGGGACGTGACAGGCGCATGGGGAGTGTTGGGAAGGGACAGGGCTCTGTGGTTTGATTAATGGGAGCCAGCTCAGTAGGAAACAACAGCAAGAACTCTATATGTATTGGAGGGAACATACGGGGGGGAATAGATGGGGAAGGGGAGAGAATGGGTGTTGCAAGCAAGAGAGAACAGGATGGGAGGTGGTTGACAGATATTGGAGAGGATAGATGGGGGGAATAGATGGGGAGAATAGATGGGGAAGGGGAGAGAAGAGAAAGGGCGATGCGAGAGGGAATAGATGGGGAAGGGGAGAGAAGAGAAAGGGCGATGCGAGAGGGAATAGGGTGGTTAAGGGTTTTGGGTTAGGGGTTGGATTTAGGGTTTAAGGTTTAGGGTGGGTGGTGACTGACAGATATTGGAGAGTGGCGAGATTCGTGATGAAGGCAGGTATGGCACCACTGAGGGGAGGATCGAGAGGAAAAGCCTTTGTATCCCTGAAAATACACATGTGTGGGTGGACGGACGCACATCACAGGCACAGATGCATGCATTCATGCAGATACATGCATGCACGCATTCATGCGGGTCATGCCCACACGCGCACACGCCCGCGTGCACACATGCACACACACGCTTACGCACGCACTCACCCACCCGCCTGCCCGCCCACCAACCCACCCACCCAACAAACGCACTCACCCACCCCCCACCCAACCACCCACCCCCCACCCAACCACTCACCCACCCACCCACCCGCCGCCCCACCCACCCGGCCGCCCGCCCGCCCAGGCACGCGCACGCTCACTCGCACGCACTCACGCACGCGCACGCGCGCGCGCACACACACACACACACACACAAACACACACACAGCCATAAAGATACAGCCAGGTTCTGACAAGAACATTGACAAGCTTCCATTCGCCATAGGCGTCCGCGATTCACCCACACAAGGAGACACACAGGAACCCAACAAAGTTCCTCGAAACAAGGCACCAGATGCAAAAACTCTCCACGCACGTTATGCGAACCACAGAAAGGACTTACAGCGCTACAACGAGCCCTTTAGGGCTGCAGGTGGCCCCCACAGGGCAAAGACGAGCTCTCTACGGCTGCGCTACGCGTGACTTACAGCGCTACAACGAGCCCTTTAGGGTTGCACGTGATGCCGGCCCATGCAGAGCACGCCGTGGAGGCGTTGCTGTTACCCGCCCACGCGCCCCACGCCTGCTGTAGCTGCAGCAACGCCGCCACTGCCGGACGAATGGGTGCAAATGGGTGATGGGGCAAATGGAGGCAATGAGGCTCGGCAAGGAATGATGACCGTTTCATGCTTCTGAATGCAACCAGGAAAGCGGAGGGGGGGAAGGGGGGGAAGAGCGGGTGGAGGTTGGGAGGAGGAGGTGGGGGACGGGAGGTGCAGTGCAGGGTAACGAGGGGGATGATCACTATTCAGCAGCAGCGGCTGGGCGGCAGCGGCGGGAGCAGCAGCAAGCAGCATTGGCCAAGACAGCAGCGGCGGCAGCAGAGACTCACAGTGTGGTTCTACCAGTGCAAGACTCGCCACGCCAGAATTTCCACTTCCAGCTGCTGCTGCTGCACCTCCTGCTGTATCCAGCGCCTTCGCCCCTTCTCTCAGCAACGACCGGCGGCGCCTGTTCCCCGGGGCATTGCGGCTCTCGCCGCCAGCGCCGCTGGTCACTCGCCGTCCCTTGGGGGAAATCAGCGGAGGAACCACCCCCAGCCGTGATACCCCACGCCGCTGCTGTCGGCGGCGCAGGGAGGCGGACTGAACTGCGGACGAATGCGCAAACGAAGCGGCGTGAATGTGATGAGATACTGGAGGATTCGTGTGTGCTGATGCTGACGGTGATAGCTTTACTGGAAGTGATTCTACCCCTGGCTGCTGGGAAGCAGAGTGGTGCGCGGAGTGAGAGGCAGCCGCGAGGCAGTAAGCGGCTACAGTGCCCGAGGAGGTGAGAAACGGCAAGAGCAGGAGGAGCAGAAGGAGAGAGTGGGAGAAAGCTGCGGCCTTCGCGTGGACGCACGAAAGGGTGGCGGCTGCTGCGAATCTGTGGCGGGTCTTGGCGTCGCCACAGGGGCGAGAGGCCGTGACGGCGCTGCTTATAGTAAGCGCCATCGCCATGAAGGAGAGATTGGCTGGTACTACTAGTGGGTAGTCCTACTACTGGTAGTAGTACTAAGCTTACTAGTAGTGGTTGTTGTTCGTTGTAGGGTCAGCACGAATGTCGACTCAGTATCTTTGTCTCGAATGTCATTGCCTTCCTGTCTGTGACAGAGTGGCGGCAGCAGAAGACAATGGGACTCCGTTTGACTGTAGCCGTGTAGGTCTGCGCAAATGACTGGACCTTTGAGAGGTGCATGGGGCAACAAATGGCATGGTTGATGCCAAGGGGTAAGTTTTGGCTAGCACGTGGCGCATCAGGGCCAGGAAAGGAGGTGGGTGGGAGAACATGGATGAAATCAGGCAAGGCTTGGAAGGGGCACAGGTATGTCTGAGCAGGTCGCATCTCTGTGACAACTGTCTGTGTATGTAAGATTCAAATGCTACATGGTATTTGCATGCTTCCAAAAACTCTCTCACTGGTTGGTTCGCACATTGTTCTCACCTGCGGTCGCACCTGTCTCACTCACCCATCGGTCTCGCTTACCCATCGGTCTCACTCACCCATCGGTGTCACTCACCCATCGGTCTCGTTCATCGGTCTCTTTTATTGGTCTCGCGCATTCATAATACCCATTGTTGTCTCATGCAGGCAATCAACTGCAACAAGCCCCTCCAGAGGAACACAGTTCTGCAGGTGGTCGGTGGTCCTGCCACTCCCTGCTCTTCATTCTTCTACACACCTAAGGTAAGACATCCCTGAATTGCTCTGTTGTTGAGGCGCCTCAAAGGTCCTGCCAATTCCTGCTTTGCCTTCTTTAAAACACTGAAGGTGAGACTTATACACTCTGTTGTACGCTCTGCTGTGCGCTCTGCTGTACACTCTTCTGTACACTCTGCTGTTATCTCTGCTCTGTTAGTTAACGTTAAAGCCAAAGACAGAACCTGTCTCACATGCTCCCATTCTGCCCTCCTGAACCCTGCCCTACCCCAGGGGGACACCTGCCCCTCCATCGCCACCCAAGTTGGGCTCAACCAGACCAGCCTCATGGATCTCAACCCCGGCCTTGACTGCGTCAACGGTGTGCGGCCTGGTCAATCCGTGTGTGTGGAGCGTAACACCACACTCGCATACACCGTTCCTCAGTGTGTCAAGTACGGGATGCTTACCCAGCAGGACACGTGCGAGAGGCTGATGAAGCGTATGATGGATAGAGATGACTCCGCCTCCTCCGCTGCAAATGCTGCGATTCTCTGGGCCCAATTTTACCGCAACAATCCTGGGCTGGTCTGCTCTAGCCCTATTCCAGACTCGGTCGCTTCCTCTGGCAGCAAAGCTGGTGTTAAGGTGCGTGTTGGTCGGGAAGAAGAGCGGGGGTGGTAAAAATGCCGATGGCGAGGAGAGGAGGAATGTGAGTTGGAGATGCATAGAAGGAAGAGTAGAGTACCTTTCATATTCACCCCCGCAGCTCTCTTCATCCGCTTTTTACCTTCCAATTTCTCAGTCTCCCAACACCTGTCAACCCCTTTCTACCCTTCGTGTTCTCACCCTCCCAACGCCTTTCAACCTTTTTTTACTTTCCATGTTCTCACCCTCCCAGGTTTGTCTCCGGGCAGAATATTGGACGTTCAAGACTGGCTTATGCACCTTGGGCAGGGCCAAGCCAGTGAAGAAAACAATGGAGTGCACCACTGCATACGCAGTATATGACCGAGACGAGACAATTGGAAAGAGGCTGTTCGCCGAATACAACAAGAGGGAGTGTACCCGGAACGTGAATCAAGCTAGCATTTGTGTGCCGAAAGCGAAAAAAATCGTGGGCAAAAAATAAACGCCTTTTACGCATGGGATATTTGATGATATGGCCTGCATTTTCCATTGGGTGTTTTCGGAGAAGTGGCATAAGACCATGTGATGATTTCGTCTGGGTTTTGGTGGTTCTTTGGTTACGTGCTCTTGGATTGCGTCGTTTCCTTTTGATTCTGGCAGAGAAGTGTTATGAAATCTGGTTTTCTTTGCTTTAATGGATCGCACGACGTTTCATTCTATGAGAAATATATTGTTACCCAATTATTTCAGTCTAAGTTGTATGCATCTGTCCAGAATTAATGAAATTCCATGTGTTCCTACCGTTATCCCCCACCCCCATCTCTCCCCCTTGCTTAGACCCCCAGGTCAATAATATGGGTACGGGTACTCTGTTTGGTCACTAGTAGTCATACCCCCCTATATGGCAGCTGACATTATATGTCCAGTTTTGTTTTTCTTTCTTTGTTTTCTTTTTTTCTATGCCAACACATCCCTGAACGCAAATAAGCCCATAAGTCTAGCTCAGAGGCTTTACACCCACTCAGACAAGCAGAGGCACATCTAGTTGACAATGGGAGAAGGCACCCAGCATGATTTCTCAATTACGTGTCTTTAGCGATTGTGGGCTTCATTTTGCGTTGTTTGCGCTAAAAATGTGGCACATGCCGTTCACAAGTCTAGACTCAAGAACACAAAAATAACCGTGTATTAAGACACAGATCGCATCAAGTAAGTGCTGTTTGTCTGCCCCCTCAATATGCTTCAGAAAACCTTGTTTGCAGCCAGCTCATGCTTCAAAAAAATGCTAAGACACTGCTCATTGTGCTTCTTCCGTGAGAGGCCTGTGCTTCCTGAGATGATATCTGAGACTCCTTTCCATCAGTCGCATTGGGAGAAACAGGATCCGTCTTCTTTGAAAATGATTCCGAGATACTCGTGCTACCTGCCATTTCATCGCACTCCCCCATGCCCCCCTTCTCCAGACAAGGTTTCTGAATGAGAGCTTTGAGGCGGTATGCAACATCCTTCATGTCGGGACGCAGGGTGCTGGGTGACATGACATGGTCCAGAGCCAGGTCTAGCTTGCTGTCTTTGAGCTCATCCAAGTGATACGCCTCCATCTTTTTCATCGCCTGCAAAGAATCACATTTAAGAGGAATCAACTCATCGTGCAACGAGAGGAACTGTGATTGCGGAAAGGTGCCCTCGACTTGGGCGCGAGCGGGAGCGTTACTTTCTTGTGGTCGTTGACAACTAGTTCAAGTACACCACGTTGATTCCTCTAGCGAAGAAGTCCGGGGCTCCTGGCCACTGAGGGCACTCGTTGTTGTCATGTCAGTTGTCTCCACTCTGACTGTAGGGGTGAGTTTTGCTCCTACATGCTCGCCGGATACAGCGGCAAACAGGGCATCACCCAGTCCTAAACACTTCCAAAGTCCCCACAACAGAATATGGTTGTTGAACGCCACATTGGCTTGGTCATGGACATCGCCCGCACCTCCATGATCCATACCAGTGCGCCCCATTTTCTGTGGCCTTACGCGGTTCGCTACGCCGCCTATGAGCTGAACCTCTGGCCTCATGTCTCACGACCAGGGGATTCACCGACCAGTCTTTGGACCGGTTTCCCTGATGTTGCATCGGAGTTTCAAGTCTGGGCCTACCTTGCGCTTGTCCACGACACCTTTGCGGACAAGCTCTCGGCTCGCGCCATCCCCTGTGCCTTCCTTGATTTCCCAGTGGACTCCTCTGCCTACACTTCTTACCACCCACCCCTCCATCCGTTCCTCGACCCCCGTGACGCCCGGTTTGACAAGTTTGTGTCCCCGCTCCTCCGGTACCCCAGACCCCCCAGGTCTTGCTCCGTCAGGTGTGTCTCACGTTAACCTTCTCCCCTCGGTAGCACGTTAGATGTCATCTCCCTCCCCATAGTCCTCCTCACAGTCACCTCAGCAGTCTTCGACACTACCGCGACAGGTTGCAGTCGTGAGGAGCAGGAACGGCTGGAGCTAGAGAGGCAAGAGTTGCAGCAGCTTGACTCAGAGATGGCGTCTTGGGGATTTACAGACACCTACGTCGATGCAGTTCCCTCTCCCAGGGCATACATAGTCGACGACATGTGGATCTTCAAGGTGAAGCAGCCGCTTGGATCACCGCCTATCTTCAAGGTGCGCTACATGGTTAGGGGCTTCAATCGGCGTGAGGTTGTTGACTTCTTTCATACTTTTTGCCCCGACCCCGAAGATGACTACTCTTCGGGTGTTACTTCACGTAGCAGCACGGTAAGACTACAAGCTGCACTCCCTCGACTTCTCCACTGCCTTTCTCCAGGGCCGCCTACACGAGGAGATCTGCCTGCGGCGTCCTCCTGGCTTCACTGACACTTTCCCTCTTGCGATTCATTGGAGCCTGAGACGACCAGTCTACAGTCTCCACCAGGCGCCCCGTGAGTGGAATGCCACGCTATGGACCACTCTGGCTGACCTCAATTTTTGCCCTTCGTCCGCCGACCCGTTGCTGTTTGTTCGCAGAGGCTCCACTCCTTTCTTCGTCCCTACGTCAACGACTTGGTCTTCGCTACAGCACACATGGTTGATCTGGCTGAGGTGAAGTCCGAATTGTAGAAGAGACACACGTGCACTGATCTGCGTGAACTGCGCCGGTACCTTGAGTTGCATATCACCAGGGACAAAGACACTTGCACCATTACGCTCTCACAGTCGCACATGGCGTAGCAGGTCCTTCAGCGGTTCGGGCTTCAGTTCTCCACCATACAGCCCACTCCTCCTGCTATCGACCACAGACTCACCGACCTTTTTCCCAACGAGCTCTTTGAGTTCAGTGGTCCCTACGCAGAATTTGTGGGTTGCCTTATGTACCTGATGACTTGTTTGCCTTTCCCCTCAGCATTCTCTCTCGCTTTGTTGCGTCTGCCAGACTTCGTTCGGTGCACTGGACGGCTACTGTGAGGGTGGCGAAGTACCTCGTGACTACATCAGGCGTGAGGCTTCTGCTTGGAGGGACACAGCCAGTTGTACTGACCGGTTGCTGTGACTCTTCGTACGCCGATGATGTGGAGACCAACGGTCTATTCAGGGGTACTGCTTTAGTTTGGGTGCTGGAGCTATGACGTGAAGGTCTACTCGGTCGTCATCAGTGGCACAGTTCAGCGCAGAAGCAGAGATCTACGCGGGTGCCATGGCTGCGCAGGAGCTTTGTTGGAACTGCAAAGTTCCAAATGAAGACGTGGGTGGAGGCCAAATGGCCTCCAACCCTCGTTTTGTACTTGGGAATATTAATTCGCCATTGCCTTGCTGCGATACAGTCACCTGCACTTTACAATACACATTTTCTAGAGTGTTCACAATTCATGTATACAAACCATTTTGATGAAGTCAGCCCTGAGCTCAATATGCTTCACAGAACCTAGTTTGCAGCCAGCTCATGCTTCCGATAACTGTTAAGACACTGTTTATTCTCCTTCTTCCATGAGAGGCCTGTGCTTCCTGAGATGACATCGGAGACTCCCTTCCCCCAGTCGCATTCTAGGAAACAGAATTCATCTCTGAAAATAATCGCACACCCCATTCGACCGGGCAATGCTTCAGAATGAGTGATTTGAGGCGGTATGCAGCATCCTTCATGTCAGGACTCCGTGTACCTGGTAACTTGATGCAGTCCAGAGCTAGGTCTGCAAAGTCCACTATGGCCTCTTCGCTTGCTTCTAGCTTGCTTCCTGCTACGGAAGAAGCAACGCAAATCAAGGTGGCATGCTCAATTAGAGACACAGTGGAAAGGGAGGACAAGGCCGCATGATTCAGAGGATACGTGACTCATGCAAAGTAGTATGGTACAGATGAACACGATGATAAGTTTGTTCACAGTGAAAGGCGGAGGCCAGGGTCGGGTTTGGCGTGGGATAGGATAATTTCCCAATCACTGATGGGCCACCCAATCAATTTCCAGTCAGCAACTCCATAAGCAGTATGCCAAAGCTGCAAGCACCCACGCCACTGGACAGAGAGGCAGCGCAGAAGAACCAGCGTAGAACCAGCAAGAACAAAGAAACATGCTTTAGCCTATGAACGTCTGATATTATTACACAGAATACTTTTTTGTAAGTCAAAACTTTTGATGCAGTTCTTATATTTGGCACGGCTGCATGTCTATTGGGCAGCACTAGCCCCTGTGCAGTATCAAAATGAAAGTAACTCTAACGCCATCCTCCACTGTGGACTCGATTGCCTGTCAACTCCCAATCCACATCGTTTATCAGTACCAGCACACCTGGCCGCCTGCATAGCATATGGTTATTAGATGAGGATGGTTGAGGGAGAGGCAGAGGGAGAGGGGTGAGAGGAGCATGTTGAAGCATCCACGGATAAAGGTTAATAGGTCATGTGAGCTGCAGCTGATGTAAGAAGGAAGGGGGCGTCATTTGTCATCAGCTTGTGTGTGTCTTGAGAGCGGAGGCTAACGGACAGTGAGTGTGCTGTGAGTGATGTGACTTACACGGTGGGTCCCTTGAGGAACATTGAAGCAAAACTTTCGATACACTAGTGTGGTTTCAGCGGGACGTTTTGGGGATTGGAAATGTTGCGGTTACAAGCATGTTCAGGCCTGCCTGAGAGGATGCAGCTTTTTTCGCGTGTGAAATTTGCTGTTGGTGGGGTGTCCAGGTGCATTAGGTAGGGACCTCCAAGGGAGGGACATTTCGTAGCGCGTGCAAAGTGTTGCTGGTGACGGGGCATCGTGTAACTCGTCCGCGATTTCAGCGTGTTTAACGATGCCCAACGTAAAATACAGTATAAGCTGCACTAGGGCGACTCGTGTTTCAGACACAATACAACCGGTAAAATCTGCGTGTCACAATCGTTTTGGGACACAAATGTCCCTGCAGGAATGTACCCTTAGCTACCCATACCTGCATAAGGTACACTAGATGGCTTATCCGGGGGATTGCGGTATCTATAAAGGCAGGCACCTTTAGGTTCAGGCATTTCTGTAAAAGGTCCACTTCAATTGGTTGTGGGTTGGGACCCACATGTACTAAAAGAACAGGCCCTGTCACTCCAGTGCAATTATGGACTACGTACATCGCATGTCCCCAACATTTGTGGCATAAGTACGAGAAAGAAAAACAAATATTTCGGAGGTGATGTATTTTCCCAGATAAAGCCCGTCCAAACAAATACGCTGCTCAATGTACAACTACCACATATTAACCTTGGTCAATCATATCCTTGGGGCAACCTAGTCCGCAACCAGCTCTTGATTTCGGTAACCCCCAAGCCAAAGTTTGAGGACCCATTCCGTCCAAACGCACCCTGAGACACTTGAGACCCTATGTGTGACTCTCTTCCACCAACATCACACATGGACCCACTCTCCGACCGTGGGAATGAATGACCGGTACTTGTGCACCCTGCAATCTCACTCCCTTCCTGCACCGCGCACTCCCTGTCGTTCTCCCTTTCCGGGCAATGCTTCTCAAGGAGAGCTTTGAGGTGGTAAGCAACGTCCTTCATATCAGGGCGTCGTGTGCCTGGTGACTTGACGCAGTCAAGAGCTAGGTCGGCAAAGTCCACTATGGCCTCCTCACTTGCTTCTAGCTTGCTGTCTTTGAGATCATCCAACCGATATTCCTCCATTTTCTTCATGGCCTGCAGTTTGCCCACGCAAGGCAGTGGGATGCAGAGGCAAGGAGGTGGAAGATAGCATCTTGAATAAGAAAGGTAAGGGAGCTGAATAAAGAAGAAACGAAGTGCAAGGAAAGATGGTGGAGGGGAAATCAGAGGCACACCTGCCACCATGATGGATATGAATGTTGGTGCAAGGCACCACAATAATTTGGAGACGAGGTGCAAGGAAAGATTGTAAGGAGAAAGGGTGGCAACAAGGAGAGGCTGCGCAGGGTAGGTAACATGAAAGAGAAAAATAAGTATAACGATGCATAATAACGAGGAAAAAATTGAAGTTACATGCTTGTGAGAGGATGAGGCAAGGATCGAACCTAACATGGGATGTCATACCCAGACTCTGATATGCAGCTGACGATGATTATAGGGTGCGTTGCCAACCAGCAACTCCAAAAGCATGATGCCGAAGCTGTAAGCAATCATGACAGCACAGAACAGGCTAGAGATGATTACAAACAAGAACACACAGAATTCAATGTAGGAGTTAAAAGCCTCAAGCCTATGGGTGTTACATTCCAGAACTTAAAAGAGGCATCAAATGTGCCAAAGTATGCAGACCTGAAGACATCACTCTTGGCAGTGATAATGTTGGTGCGGTTGTAATCCGGGTCCACGTAGCCCGGAGTGCCGGCCACTCGTGTGGCATCGGAGTCGCCTTGAGTGAGGAGCTTGAGCAGCCCAAAGTCAGCCACCTTCGCTTGCATGTTGGCAGTCACAAGGATGTTTGCCGGCTTGATGTCGCGATGAATGATTGGCGTGTCAAACCCATGTAGGTATGCCAGGCCCTCTGCTGCACCGTGTGCCAGTCGCAGTCGCTGCCTCAAGGAGAGGGGGCCTGGGGCAGAGCGAGGGCACAAGGAACGTGTGTACACGTTGAGATGCATTGCATCACTAAAGGGAACAAAGAGAGAAGCAAAGCTGAGGAGTTGGAGATTAGAGAAGTAGAGAGGTGGAGTAGGAATCGCCTTCTTGGCCAAATGGAGCAGCAAATCTTTTGGCAAGACGTGCTAGGCTCTTGCCTAGAGAATCTTCGGAACTCACGCTTGGACTTGTAAATGTGGTACTGCAAGTCTCTGTTGTCCACAAACTCGTACACCAGGATTTGCTCCTGCTTGCCTGTCTCCACATTCTGATCCAAACAGAAACCCAGCAGCCGCACCAGGTTCGTGTGGTGCAGGGAGGCCATAGCCCCCACCTGAACATGGGAGAAAGAAGTCCATGTGAATGAAAATGGTAGATTGTAAGTTAGGTTTATGTCTTTTGTGATACCGAGTTTCCATGTAGTAGTTGCAGTTGCAGTTGCAGTTGCACTTGCCCTTGCCCTTTCCCATGCCCTTACCCTTGCCCTTGCCCTGCTACTGCTGCTGCTGCTGCTGCTGCTGCTGCTGCTGCTGCTGCTGCTGCTGCTGCTGCTGTTGTTGTTTGTTTTTTTGTTTGATTGATTGTTTTTTTTTTGTCCGAGCAGTTAGACCAAGCATTGTAAATCTCTCTTATACAGCAGGCGCTTACTTCTGTTTCAAACTCATTCGTCATGACGGTAGAGCGCTTGATAGCCCACAGCTGCCCCTGTGGGGAGTAGCCCTTGTAGACAATGCCAAAGCCTCCCTTGCCGAGCTCATTCTCTTTCGCCCAGTTGTTTGTTGCCTTCACCATCTCCTGCAGCGTGTACTGCTCACACACGTCCAGCCCCTCCCACTTCCCTGCAAGCACGCAGGGCACAATAGCAGTGAGAGGGGGATGCTAAGGCTGAATGAATTTTCCGGTGTTTAGTGCAGACGAACCGGATGAATGGATGGGGTCTATTCGACGTGGGGGTGGGACGGACTATGGGGGGAGGAAGAGCGATGGGGAATTCAGAATGGCTTGCAAAAAGGTGGGGGATAGGAGGGACGCAGGAGAGGGGGCAGCAGGGTTAGAGGGCTCACTCTGTTTGCGGGGCCACAATAGCCATGTGAGTACCAAAGCCAGCAGAGTGAAGCCAGCAAAGCAGCCCACAGCAATGCCCACTATGGCACCCGTGGAGAGCGAGGGGACTGCCACAGGAAGAAAGGTAAGGGTGAAAACAACAAAAGATAGAGTCAGACCATCAGAGCAGAGCCATTAAAGCAGCCCACAGCAATGGCCACCATGGCACCCGTTGAGAGAGAGGAGACTGCCAGAAAAGGGCAAGGGGGGGCTTCTAGGTGGAGTGGGGAGGGAGTGGGAGGGAGATAGAAGGGGAGTAGAGGGGCCACAAAGGACGTTACAGGGCTGGTCGGGGAGAGATTCTAGAGAATGAGGTACAGTAAATGCAGCGGGAAAAACAGTGTGTGCATGGAAGTTTTGTGGTCGAATGAAGGCAATGGAGGAGGGAGGAAGGTGCAACAATGTGAGGGAGCTATAGAGGTGGAGTGATGGCTAACCAGTGGTGGTGGTGGAGTTGACAACTACACAGGTGGAGCCGTTGCCCAAGTCAAGAGCAGAGTAGCCGGCATGACAGAGGCAGGTGAAGTTGGATTGAGAGGAAGGGGCAGGCAGCACGCACTCCCCATGGCCGTCACACGGGCCGTTGTCCGTGATGCTGCAGAACGCCTGGCAGGCTGCCGTGCTGCGCTGGGTGGCGTTGGAGGGGCAATCCGCGTCCGGGCTGAGCGTCAGGCAGTTGCCCAACAGGCTCACCCTCACGCCCTTGCCTGGTTCTGCAACTGAGTAATCCTTCTTCCCAGATATGCCATTAATGCACTTCCCAGCCCCTTGGCCGGAACTGGTATCCCCCAGCAGAAGGTTGTTGGGCTTGGTGATTTCAACCGGACAGATCTGGCAGCCGGCAGCAAAGAGCACGGCATCACCAAAAAAGAAGTTGTGAGCCAAGTTGATGAGAGCGTCTCCATCTGCCACCATGTTCTTGAAGTTGCGGTTGATGCGCCCGTACAGGCTGTTGCTGCTCACATCACTGCGAGTCCAAAGGGTTGAGGGTGGTTATGGGAGGGGTGGTGATGGGTGCAGTGCAGATTGTGTGAGGACAGCTGCGTTGTGAAGGGCTGTTGTGTCGTAACGGCTGTTGTGACACTACTGGCTGTTGTGATATTATTGGCTGTTGTGACATTATGGCTGTTGTGACATTATTGGCTGCTGTGACATTATGGCTGTTGTGACATTATGGCTGTTGTGACATTATCCGCTGTTGTGACTTTATTGGCTGTTGTGACATTATTGGCTGCTGTGACGTTACTGGATGTTGTGATATCAATCATTGGCTGTTGTGACATCTTTTGCTGCTGTGACATTATTAAAAGTTACGCCATTATTCAGCATTGCGACATTATTAAAGTGTTGGAGCTGATGTGACCTCTGATGTATTTCTTTTTGCCTATTTTATGTAATAGATGCCATGTATTCATCTTGCGCCTATCTACTTAAACATGTTGTTATTCAGTTGGGACTCACATTTGATTCACACATTTGTTGAAGAGGCAGTCTGGAAGGGACCCATAGAGGCGGTTGTTGCTCGCCATGCTGCCACCACATCAAGCGGCATGATACGTATCAAGGGGAAGTGATGGCTATGGGTAATGCAGAAAATGGCCTATGCAAACGGGATTTGACAGAGAAGAGGGGTCTGGGAGGGAAGAAGGGAGAGGGCATATGAGGAGGTCACTGGCGCCACAGCCAATCGCATGAACCACAGCCAATCACATGCGCCACAGCCAATCGCATGCGCCACAGCCACTCACATGCGCCACAGCCACTCACATGCGCCACAGCCAATCACATGCGCCACAGCCAATCACATGCGCTGCGCCACAGCCAGTCACATGCAGCACAGCCAATCACATGTGCCACAGCCACTCACATGCGCCACAGCCACTCACATGCGCCACAGGAAGGGAAGCGAACAGATGGCAGATGGCAGAGGGCCCTCGATGCTGTTGTTGTCCAACCAACTGTGGGGGACAGGCAGGGAAGGAATGGTACATGTGCGTGTAGCAAGCGAGGCTCTGGGTGCCATTCCTCTGCCATCGAGGGTGCATGGATAGATTGACGGACCGAGGGTCTCACAGACGGGCGCTCAGGTTGGTGGTGGACGGATGGAGGAAACACAGAGGGACAGGGGCAGGCAGGAGAGGAAACGAGGGGTCTCACAGCTGCTCCAGATTCTGCAGTTGGTTGATGTCTGATGGTAGACTGCCGCTCAGATGATTATTGGCTAAGTAGCTGCATCCGAGGGCCGGAGGGCAGCAACAGAAGCAAGTAAATGAGGGAGCGGTGGTGTACGAGAGAACGGTGAGGCATCATGGGGGAAAGCAGTGGCTGCAGGGTGGGAAAGAGAAGCAGGCATTTTGCATTGGTATCACTGAGAGAATATGGGAGTGCAGATGCGAGTGCGGTGCGGGTACTGGGTGTGTATTGTGTATGATGAGCGACGTCCCAAGGCAGTGATTGGTAGAAGATGGTCAGAGGGAGTTGAGGCTCACAGGAACTTGAGATTGGTCATGTTGAAGATGGAAGCTGGTATGGAACCAGTGAGCTGGTTGTTGTTGAGGATGCTGCATGGGCAAGCAAGGCATGAGGTGTGAATCTGAAACGCGTCATGTAGTAGAGACTCAGAGTGCAACATGCACACACACACGCACGCTGCAAGAATCACCTCCTGTAGTGTGGCGATTCCTGTCACATAGCGAAATACCACATGATGGCATATTAGCACACGGTTCCTCAGTAAATTCCTACATCATGCAAGGGTCATGCTACACACACTGATGATTGCAATGTGAGTGCATTAGAATACATTGAATCGAGAGTGGTCAGTGTGGAAATGGAATTCGGAATAGATCCCGTGAAGTTGTTGTTGTTGAGAGCCCTGAAAAAAACACACATGCAATGCAATGGTTGTGGGTGGGATTATGAGGGGCACATACATCGAGTCAAATGCACATGTTCTGAGCTACATAAAGCCCTCTTACAAGCCATGCTTCATTAATCAATCATATGAGTTCCTTATTCCAAACTTCCTTCTTAAAATTGCCTAGGATAATTGAGTCCGCAATGAGTCGCTATTGTCCACACCATTCACACCGAATCCGAGCCACCTCCTGTCATCATCGCCTGGCCTGAACAGGCACGCATTAACCAGGGCCATCCTATTTGACACAGAGCCCCACTCCAGCCCCAGAGGAAGGTCAGTCGTTTCTGACCGCATGAGCCAGGGTCTGAGCCTAGCAGGCTCGGTCTGAGCTGCGACGAGCCGGCCAGTGGACGAGTTGAGCCATAAGCTTGGGAGCCGGCCAAACAAAATTGCCGGCTCGGCACACTAACGAGCCAAGCTGTTGACCAGAGCGGTTGGCTGGAAATGTTGCTCATGCCTAATATCTATCTAAGGGTGTGCTTCTCTGCCTGTACTTGCCACTGAATGACTACAAAAGATCGTTAGAGAAAGAGAGAAAAAGAGGCTGACATACAGGCTCCTGAGGTTGACATTCCAGCGAGCAAAGTCCGGTAAGGCACCTGTAAGGCCGTTTCCCTCCAGAACCCTACAGGCCAGCAGTCAACAGAGAAAACAATGGGAGATCACAAGAGGTGTGGAGCTTTATAGGAGAAAACCACTGAAAGGGGGTGACCACATGACAGTAAAGGAAGCGCAGGTGCTGGAAGGGTACCGTGCAGAGGGTACGCGGCTCCCAATACCCCTTATGGAGGGGGAAAGAAGAGCGGCATGGACTTGGCACTTAGCTTAGATTAGTACGCCCCCAAATTTGTGAAAGCGCTGGGAAGCACGTGACACTTCTCACAGAATTTTAAGAGTGGGTGCCGCATTGAGTGGCACTGGAAGGACGCCTGAGAAGAAGTTGTTGCCCAGTTGTCTATAGCAGGACAGCATGGGAGAGGCGAGGGGAGGGGAGGGGAGGGGAGGGGAGGGGTGGGGTGGGTATGTATATATGATAATAGGATATAGGAGAAGCAACGTCCCCCTCTCTCACAGCAAGTGGCCGGACTCTCACAGCAAATGTCGCCTTCCTCTCATGACATGCACAGCTGGTCGAGGCCAAATCAAAGCTGGGAAGAGACGGGAAGGACAAAGAGTGGGGTCATGCAGGGAGGGAGAGAGGGGTAAGTGAGGGGGAGGGAGACATTGAAGGGGGAGGAGATTGAGGAAGGGGAATAGAGTTGAGGGAGAGAAAGAGAGGTGAATGAGGGAGGGGTACGAGGGAGAGAAAATTGAGGGGGGGGGGGGGAACTGATGAAGGGGGGAGAGGGAGAGAGAGATTGAGGCGGCACACCCCCAGGCCCCAGCAGACCCTTGGCCGCTGCAGTACAGCTGGAGGACCTACTCCACACTATAGAAGGGGGGTAGGCGCGTGTGGGACATGGGGACAAGATAAGGGGAAGTTAGGCTAGGCTGTATCCATGTCATGCCTGCTTCTATGCCACCTGCATGTACCTGCTGTGGGATTAATACGAAGGATCGTTTGAGAGAGAGGAAAGCTAATGAACGAGTTGAGAGGGAGTGAGAGAAAAAGGGGGAAGGCTAAGGGGGCAGTATGGCTACCTAGCGGAAACTCACAGTGAGGACAGCTGAGGCAGCTGAAACAGCTCAGGTAGAATCGACCCATGGAATTTATTGTCCGTCAAATCGCTGGGAAGGAGAAGGGGAGGCGAGAAAGTATGACACGGCAGGTGAATGAGCATGCTGAATGTTGCACCCTGATGCAGCAGGCTCAGCTTGCAGCAGGGCAGGGCAAGGCCGGGCCAGGCCCAGTTCACGACAGGGTGGAAGGGGGGGCTTGAGTCTGGCGAACAGATAACCACAAGCTGATTCCAAGGCTCCCCAGCCCAGGCTGCACCAGGGCCGGTTCACATTGGTTCACATTATGAGGAAGAAGGGGGTGATGTGGCCATTCGGAGCAAGGGGGCGGTCCTTGAGCTGATTTCAAGCCCTCCCGGGCTTGTGATTTGTCATTGAGGGTGGAGCCTAGGGGGGGCTTGTAAGGAGTCAGGTCAGCTCGTCAGAAGCCAGGTGGCTACGAGCCAAGCCTTGCTAGGCTCTCGGAATTGGGGTTTGCGACTTTGGGAATAGTCTCACAGTCAGTGTTCCTGCTGCTAGCACCTGAGACATAAAACAGATTACCGTGTAGCTGAAAGAACAGGAGGACTGAAAAGCAAAGTGAAGACAGGAAATCCACAGCCCAATCTAATAAGGATCAGAAAATACCCAGTGCTCCCTGAGCAGCACTGGCCATCAGTGACAGGGATGGGACTCTCATCGTGTGCTTGTGGAAAGTGGGAAGAACCGTCAGCCCTAAAGTCTCTGAAACATTGATGATTCTGTTTTGTGAGAATCATGACCTCATGAAGAAAACATGACGTTTGTACTTGGCGTGATCAACTCTGTAGGCAACAGCGAATTTGCAATGTCACTGATGGGACACAAGTCCAGGGGAGCAATGTTGTGTTACTGATGGGTTGAGATTCAACTGCCGGGTTCTGTTGTCCGTGAGATGATAGAACACGCAAACTACCCAACTGCAAAATGGGCTCGCGTCCCCATCACCCACATGTGTCACGTGTGTCATCAATGTGTGCCATAACTCACATGTGTGCCATCACATCACTCACATGTCCACAAGATCAACCAGTTCTGTCAGCTGCTGGGGAATGGTCCCTGAGAAACTGTTGTTCCTCAAGTTTCTGCCGTGCCAAACCATAGAGATAAGTCCATAAGAGAAGCAGGCATGCACTTCTGGCATAGGAAGAGAATGAAACTGTGGTTCCAATCCTTGTACGGGCGTAGGAGGACTTGGGTCCTCGAGTCAGGGTGGCTGAGACTATGAGTTACAGTACTTGAGATCATGACTGGCTGGCTTACAACACTTGAAGTCCCTTATGGGCTAGAAGAGATCTAGGAAACGGCCCAGAGAAATTGTTGTCGCCAATGTGTCTGCAAAGGGTGAAGATGGTTGATCGGAAACGCACGCACATGTGCGCAGAGAGAGCAGCAAACACGAAAAGCAGCACACAAACCGAGCAGCACATGCGAAGAGCAGCACACACAACACAAAGAGCAGCGCACACAAAGAGCAGCGCACACACCGAGCAGCACACGCAAAGAGCAGCACATGACGAGCAGCACGCAAAAAACAAGCAGCAGCAATGACAAGGAACAATGCACATGAGGAACAGCACACAGAGGGACAGGAAGAGAAAGCCTCACATGAACGAGAGGCGGTCAAAAGCCGTGAAAGACTTTGGAATGACACCTGAATAGTTGTTACTGTCAAGGTATCTGTGTGGCATAAGTTGGACAGGAGAGCATGGTTTGGATGGAGTGCAGGGGAAGTGAAGGGGGGAAAGCAATGACGTGTGAGCAGATAAACAAAGCAAGGCAAAACGAGAGGAGAAACGAGGAGGGTGGCAAAGCAAGGAAGGCAGGGCCACCACTCACATGTGCATGAGCCATGTCATTTGTTTTGAGACGTCTCAAAACACTTCTTCATACACGTAGCAAGGACGGCAGAGCCACCACTCACATGTGCGTGAGCCATGTCATTTGAGCGACCACTTCCAGGCCTCCGCTGAGACTATTGTTGGACAAATCCCTGGGTGTTGGAGGTGGCATGGAATGGTGCGATGAAATGCGGTGCAGTGCAGTGCAACGAGGAGTATGGGTTGAGCAATGCGTACGCTGGTGGTGCGATGAGGACAAGTGTGGCATGGGTTGAAAGGCGAGGAGCAGAACAAGGAATTGAGATGTTTAGGTGACAACAATCCCACCTCAATGGAATGAAGGCCATGCAATTCAGAAAATCCCAAGGAGAACGACTCAAATGGGAATCTGACCTGCAGCTCTCGTGGGATTTTTTTGATTGCATGGCCAACAAATGATGGAGCAATATTATGGCTATCAAATCTAGCAAATCCTTAGGGGAGAGGCAGAGTTGGGGATGGGGCGGAGGAGCTACACACGTATTGTGTTTTCGACGAGCCCAACATGGGCAGCCAGCCAACATGAGCAGCAAGCCAATTGGCTCGGAATAGAGCTGTAAATTGGCTCCTCAGCACTTTTGATACGGTGGCAGTTCTTATCTCAAAGAGTTTCCCATGATTGTGTTGGCTACCACTTCTGGGGCATGTTATGGAAGTTCGCAAGCATTCGTCGTAGCAACTACAAACCCAGCGATTGATCATACAGTCATCTCATTTGCAACTCATTCAAGCTGAGGTTCTAGCCCCGTCAAGGGGGTGCTTTTGCATTGTTCTGATAAAAAGGGTTAGCATGAGATTTCCCCCAAGAATGAGACCGAAACGTAGAAGTTCGTGCAGTGCACATCTGAACATACGAGCCAGGCTTGTATTGAGAAGCGATGGTGGCTCAGGAACGACCCGAGGCACACGAAGCTTGAGGCGAGCCAGGCTGGCCTCGTTTGACTCTCAAGTGGTGAGCCTAGTGGGTCAAGATGCTGTTCCTACTGGACCATGCTCTGCCTAGACATGCAGAGGAACCACAAACAGGCAGAGGACGCACCGACAGGCAGAGGACGCAGAGACAGGCAGAGGACGCACAGACTAGTGACGCCGGTGAGGTGTGTGAAGGTGGAGGGAATGGCTCCTGTGAAAAGATTGTCGGTCAGAGCCCTGTGCGCATGGCAGGCAAACGGATGAAGAGTGCAATCAACTTTTTGGTAAGAAGGTTCATATGTTAATAAGGTTAGTAAAGGATGAAGAGAAGAGAGGATAATAATAATAACAGAGAATGAGTAAGAGATACTGAAAAAGGAGAGCCTAGTGAGGATGAGGGAAGGATCTTCAATGATGAAGGGAAAATAAAGAGAGGAGGACGAATAGGGGATTAGGAGAGAATGAAAAGAGGATGATGAGGGGGTCATGAGAGATGAAAAGAGGGTGATGAGGGGATGACGAGAGATGAATAGAGGATGATGAGGGGATGACAAGAGGATGAAAAGAAGATGATGGCTGGATGACGAGAGGATGAAAAGAGGATGATGACGGGATGACGCGAGATGAAAAGAGGATGATGACGGGATGATGCGAGATGAAAAGAGGACGAAGACGGGATGGCGAGAGGATGAAAAGAGGACGAAGAGATGACGAGAGGATGAAACATGAAGATGGACAAGATCTCACAACATGACGGATGTGGCACGGATGTGGCATGGATGTGGCATGGATGTGGCAGTACCCACAGGTCTATGAGGCTGGGCAATGCGAGGTGTGGTGGGATGCGACCGTCAAAGGCATTGTAGCTTAGGGACCTGCAGGAGTGAGCGAAGGGGTGAGAGCGAGCAGCTGGTGAATGAGGCTGTTCAAATGTGAAGTAAGACGGAGATATGCAAGAAGAGGTGCGGAGATGCAATTGGTATGCATGGAAAAATGCAGGTGTCACAAGCAGATGCAATCAAGCAAGGAAAAGTGTAATAAGCAGGAAAGATGGAGAGTGAGAGAGGTAGTGCATTGTGAGAATACAGCGTCTGTGCTTACCTATAGTTGCTTATTCTTGCTTATTTCTCCTTTATCTTATCGTTGTGTGCTTGTTTCCTGGAATCGTTGCTTTTCTATATTTATTCTAGTTATAGTACCAATTTAGGTTGCATGCACACTATTATGCTGAATTTCGGTTAATACCGCATGACTTTGCGTGCGTTTGATTTCGGCCGTATGTCTTCTACCGAATTCAGGAAGGTCCCGTTTCCCAACGGTTCCCGATGTACAGAACATTCGCGTAACATCCTGGTTACCTGCTTTATAGCGTGGCTATATATAGCCGCGTAATTGTACTCAGAATTCATAATTTATTTTTTGAGCTTGCACCTCAATCCTCACATACAGGAAGGGCGGGAATTGGGGTGGGAGGAGGGGGGGGGGGGGGGGGGGGGGGGAAGAGGGTGTTAGTGTTAGCCCTCAATCTTAACTTTTGTACTTGTACATTTTATATCCTAGCATATTGTAGTTTGCACTTTGTGTTGGTTGGGTGTACATACACCCACATCCCAACCCAGCCCAAATGTGATTCCCTGCAATCTCCAACCCAACAATTGAAGATTCCAGGTGATTTCGTTGGGATTGCCCCCGATTCCCTCCCCATCCATCCCTGATGTACTTGAAGAGCTCTGACCTCATTACTACTTTATTTTTTTAAGTTTAATGTCTGACAGAAGGGAGGGATTCAACAGAGGGTTAGGGAGAGAGTGGGAGATACGCACAATGTTTGAATGTTGGTGGTGAATGCTCGGGGTATCTCCCCTGACAGGTAATTCCAGGATAGATCTCTGCAAGAAATTATGAAGACAATGGTCAAACACAGAAAGAAGGGAGAGAGGCGTGAAAGGCAGTGCATAGGAGGGAGGAAGGGCGAGAGGCATATAGAGAGAGAGAGGACCCGGCCTGAATCAATAGAAAGGACCGTTTGAGAGGTAACCAAGCCCCATAACTTCCTCCCGAAACACATTCTTCCTTCGGTATTTTCCATTCGCAGCTAGGGCACCTCGCCTTGGGTCCACTAAGAAAACCCCCGAGCCCCCTTCCTCTTCGCAACCACCATTCAGAAAAACCTAAGAAAAACCCCTTGCCCCCTTCCACTCCGCGGGGTGCGACAGTTGGATATTCCAACGTCACAGTGTTTGCCTGCGCAGATGACATCTCACTCATATGCCCTACCTGCGTTGGCTCACAGGCCGTACTGGCGTTGGTTCATACAGCCTACCAGCATTGGCTGGCTCATAGGCTTACCCATTATGGCCACAGCGTCATTCACCTGCCTCACAAACGCCTCGGAAGGTGTGGCGGCCTCCATTTCAATCTGGCAAACACCGAGTTTACACACGCACCAGCTGGTGACACTTTGCCGGTGAGTCTGAGTTCGGTTGATTGCAGAATGATGGTGCTTGGGAGGGTTTTCAGATCCTTTCGGGAGAGAATTCTGTCGGGAGAGAATTCTGTTGGGAGAGAATTCTGTTGTGAGAGAATTCCGTTGGGAGAGAATTCTGTTGGGAGAGAATTCTGTTGGGAGAGAATTCTGTCAGGAGAGAATTCTTTTGGGAGAGAATTCTGTTTGGAAAGAATTCTGTGCAAACAGGATCTGAGCTACACTGGACTCGTCCCTGCAGCTGCCCTGTTCGATGGAGAAGCAATTTAATGGCAGTGAGCTATTCCTCCTAAGGATGCCATCAGGGGAAGCCCAGGGGCAACTCCTTGAGTAGACTTAAAAGTCCGGGGCAACCAAGAAGAGCAGCAGAGTTTCTGGAGGATCACCGATTTGACCAGCCATGTGGACTCTTCTGGCCGGCCAAAACAACCAAGTAGAGACCGCCTGAAGCAGTGGATGTGATGGTGGCATGCCTGGCAGGCAGGTGAGGAGAGCAGCATGCATGAGGAGAGCAGCACTCACAGGGCAATGAGGGCGGTGAGTGCAGAGAGCGTTTCAGGTATGTCGCCCTGGAGGTGGTTGAATGACAGATTGCTGCAGCGGGGGAGAGCCGATGCAGTGCAGAGTGAGGACAGACTGATGCACAAGCGCAAGTGTTGGTTTCATTGAGGGAAAACGTGGATGCATATAAGAGATGATCTTGAAGGGAACTTGGTGAAGTACCCAAGGCATTATTGGTGCACCAATGGTAAGGGTCACCAAATACTGCTTGGGGCTGACCGTCAATTATTGGAGGGGGGGCAATAATGGTTGGGATGAACCAACCAAGTTGGTTCCCCCCCTGTAAATTGCGGTCGAGTGGATTGTGGCGCACCCAACCAAAATAGGTTGGGGCGCCTTGGCCCAAAGTGTACACCCAAATTTGGGTGTGGCACCTGCACGTCTATAACACACATGTGCTATAATCTAACTGCACAGTCATCTCAGGCACTCAGACAGGCACTCACGTATGCCCAGAGAACGGCAAAAGGCAGCGACTTCATCAGAGATTGATTCAGCGTGTGTAATACAACGATGCGACATGTCAAGGGAAAAATCACAGCATGTGATGGCAGCATGGTAGCACGGGAGCATGGGAGCACGGGAGCATGGAGAGCACGGGAGCATGGAGAGCACGGGAGCATGGAGAGCAGCAGCATGGCACTACCGCTTACAGATCTTCCAGATTGACCAGAGTGGACCAACTTTTGGGAAGGCCGCCCTCCAGGTTGTTTCCAGCAAGTGTTCTGCAATCAGAACCATTGGCATTGGGCACAGCACAGCCGATGGTGTTACAGCAGAGGGGAGGATGAATGAAGAGTGACAATTCAAATGCCAGACTGGGCTTTGACTCGTTTCTAGGATTATGAATAGCCAGAGCAACTTCGAGGGTTGGCAGGGAAAGGAATTCTTCCATTTTGAACCATTTTGGAAAACTCCCAAGAGAATAACATCTCTACATGCTTCGACCTCATGCAATGCAATGCAATGCAAGTGCTTCCCCAGCCCATCACATCCGTACACCAGAGTACCAGATCTATCTGGAACCACCCTTCAGCACGATGCGTCTCGCATCATGTCATCCCCCTCAAGCGTTATGAGCAGCATTGATGAGTCAATTTCCCCCCCCTGAACTCGGACTGGCATGGCGAACCAAGTCCCGTTTCAAGCAGGCACAGCTGCGCATAATCTGGCCTGCGCAATCCACATTGTTTCCGTCCATGCTGCTTGGTTGTTGTCCCCAGCCCCAGGTATTCTCACAATGCCAGCACTCTGATTCTCAGCTCTACCATGGTTCCATTCCAGAGGAAAGCACCCTCCATTCCACCCACAGCCTGGTGAGTGCGTTTTCAGTTGACTCAAAACACACTTTGGAGTCGACCCAAAACACACTATTCAGTCGACTCAAAACACACTTTTGAGTCGAAACAAAACACACTATTCTGTGGACTCAAAATGCAGTCGACCCGAAACACTCCACTCACAGGCTGGTGAGTGCTGTGAGTTCCGACATGCCTTTAGACAGGATTCCTTGCCGCCTTGGCTCATCTGTGTAGATGTTTCTGCGCACGTGCATGGCATGGCACAGACACAAGACACAAGAGACATGCACAGAACCACAGCCTCAGAGCCACAGACAAAGGGGGTCAACTCAGTTGATAAGGGTGGGTGGGAGAGAGACTCTATTCAGGCTGTAACCATTTCAAACAAGATTCTGTGTGGCAGGGGTCACTGGGAGTGAAGGGAGTGAGCAAGGGAGTCATGGTAACGGGAAACGAGGAAAGAGGAAAATCTCACAGATACTGAAGGTTGGAGAGCTGAGTGACCCACTTGGGGAAGTCCAATGCACGAAGGTATGACAGGTCACTGCAGGGCGGGGAGAGAGATTCCGCAAAGTTAAAAAGATCACAATCCGCGTGTGCGGTTGAAATGCTCTGATACCATGTAAAAACTTCGGTTGAGCTGATACATTGTAATGAGCCCAAAGCTCTTTAAGTACATCCGACCAACACAAAGTACAAGCTACACATTTGGAGATTTCAGTCGATCACATTCGGGGTTGGGATGTGGGCGTACACCCAACCAACACAAAGTACATTCTCTAGGATATCAAGAGTGCAAGTACAAAAGTTGAGAGATTGAGGGCTAACACTAACGCATGGTACATAGTGCATGGTACATAGTGCATAGTGCATGGTACATAGTGCATAATGCATGGTACTTAGTGCATATTGAATGGTACATAGTGCATAATGCATGGTACATAGTGCATAGTGCATGGAAAAAGTGCATAATGCATGGTGCACAGTGCACAGTGCATGGTACATAGTGCATAATGCATAGTGCACAGTGCATAGTGCATGGTACATAGTGCATACTGCATAGTGCACAGTGCAAGCAAAGAGTGGCATATGCAGGGAAGCAGAGTGCACAGCGCATAGTGCAAACGAATGGAGAAAAGGTTACTTGGCAAAGGGTACAAACAGTGCAGTCATGCGCAGTGCTGCAGCTTACAGGGCAGTGAGGGCAGTCAAGTATCGAATCTCCCTGGGAATCTCCCCTGTAGCATTCGTGAAGCCGCTGATCGTCCTGCATACGGGCAACAGATAAGTGGAATGCACAACGTGTAGGCAAGGGGTGAGTGGGTATTACGCAATAGCCTGGAACCAGCACCCGCCCGAGTGTGTGGACGGGTGAATGCAGGCACAACAGGTGCGTGGAGGGATGAGTGGAGAAAAGAGGGAAGAAACGTGTATGAAAGCATAGTGTGAGACAAAGATGAAGACAGAATGTACTGCTGGGCTATTTTGTGGCGCTTACAAGTCCTGGAGGCTGTCCAATTGAGATAAAATTGCAAGGGAGGACAAGTCCCCTGTGAGCATGGACAGGTCAAAGAGACCGCTGGTGGTGGGTGGTGGGCACACGGAGAGAGCGAGTGAGCGAGTGAGCATGCAGGGGAGGGTGTGGAGTGATTGAGCATACAGGGGGGGGGGGGAAGGAGAGCGTTTGAAATGAGAGTGCATACAGAGGAAGGGAAGAGAGAGCGAGTGGAGCAAAAGAACATACAGAGGAAGGGAAGAAAGAGTGAGTGGAGCAAAAGAGCATACAGAGGACGGGAAGTGATAGCGAGTGGAGTGAATGAGCGTACATAGGAAGTGAGGATGAAAGCGAGCATATGCATCACAGGGATTTCAGGGATTTTAGGGATTTTCAGTGGGTGGGGTGGGGCCATGCAGAGGCGTGCATAAAGTGTGCGTGTGTGTGTGCGTGTGTGTGTGCGTGCGTTTGTGCGTGCGTGCAAGCGCGAGCGCGTGTACTACATGTGTGTGTGCAGGCAGGTCATACAATGAATGAATGAATGAATGAAGGGCGTACAGCGTGTGCAGGCGGGGAAGGGAGGAAATCCAGGAGAGTCCGTCTAGAGTGCCAGTCAGCCTGCAACCATCTGCTCCTATGTATCTGCGGGAAATAATTACACAGGCAATGGGGGCGGATGGATTGTTACAGAAAAACGGATGGATGCAAAACAGGAGGGGGGAGGGGAGGGGGGGGAGGGGGGAGAGAAATGCAAGGGGGTTGGATCGCATTCAGGGGATTGTGGGGGCAAAGGGAGGTATGCAATGGGGGACAATGGATGGGGGGAATGGGTGCGGGCGGAAAGGGACAAGAGGACGAAGAAGCCAGCAAACATGCAGAAAGAAGAAAAGCATGGAGAATGAAAGCCGATGGTCACGACTCACAAGTGGAGGAGACTGACCTTGACAGGTCGTCCTTTTATGCAACATGAAAAGCCGTGGTTGGTAGGAAATGGAGGAGTATTCTACATGTGTAAGGCAGAAAGGGTGTTGATTATAAACTTATGGGTAAGGGCACGTACAGATGGGTGAGCCGGGAGAGACTGTGGAGTGGTGGAATGGGTCCCTCCAGATCAATATAGCTAAGATCGCTGAGAGGATGGGAAGGCAGGAAAGCAGGAGGGTGGCGGAGATAATGTATGGAAAGGAAAGGTGGATGGAAGGAGGAGGGACTCCAAGTGACGGGCAGGAGGACGTGAGGGCGAATGGGGAGAGTTGGGTGGGAAGAGGAAGCTGTGGTTGAACTAGCGGAGAGCCAGCTCAGTAGGAAACAACAGCAGGAACTATGGAAGAGACAGTGTCAACATGAGTGTGCAGTGCAGCGGTCGCGAGGGGAGCAAGCATAGGAAGACGCGGGACGGCGGGCGGTAGTGGTGGGAAAAACCATGGTGGAAAGAAGGGTGGGCGGTGGGGGGAATAGATGGGTGGGCGGAGAGGGGGGTGGGGGGGGGGGGCGAATGGGAGGTGCAAGGGGAGAAAAGGGTAATTGGTGAGTGACATTTATTGGAGGGGAAAAAGGGGGGAATAGATGGAGAAGGGGAGAGAAATGGGTGGTGCGAGAGAACAGGGTAGGTGGTGACTGACAGATACTGGAGAGTGGCAAGATTCGTGATGGAGGAAGGTATGGCGCCACTTGGGGGAGGATCGAGAGGAAGAGCTTTTGTATCCCTGAAAATTTGCAAATTCACGCATTCATGCTCATGCATGCGCAGAGGCGTGCGTGCACACACACAAACACACACACACACACACACACACACACACAGAGAGAGAGAGAGAGAGAGAGAGAGAGAGAGAGAGAGAGAGAGAGAGAAAGAGAGAAACACACAGACACAAAGATACAGCCAGGTTTTGACAAGCTTCCATGAGCCACTGGTGTCCCAAATCCATCCACCCACACAAGGAGACAAGAATCCCACAAGTTCCTCGGAACATGGCACCAGATGCACAAACTCTTAATGCACGTTCTGGTCACCACAGAAGTAACTCACAGGGAAACAACGAGCCCTTTGGGGCTACACGTGACACCAGCCCATGCAGAGCACGCAATGGAGGCGTTGCTGTTGCCCGCCCACGCGCCCCACGTTTGCTGCAGATGCAGCAGCGCGGCCACTGGCGAACGAATGGGTGCAGTTGGGTGATGGACAAAATGGGGGCAATGGGGAAGCAATGATGAGCGTTCCATGCTCCGGAATGCAACCAGGGAAGCGAAGGGAGGAAGAGGGAGGGAAGCAGGTGGAGCTTGGGAGGAGGAAGGGGGGAGGTGGAGGCGAAGTGGGGTAGTAATCGCTGTTTAGCAACAGGGTGGGGCGGAAGTGGCGGAAGCAGCAGCAAAAGCAACAGCAGGTGCATCGGCCGAGAGTGCAGCAGCGGCAGCAGGGACTCACAACACGGTTCTGCCAGCACAGGACTCGCCCCGCCAGAATTTCCACTTCCAAACGCAGCTTCCCTCAATCCCACGGCCCCCAGCGTGGCTGCTGCAGCACTTCCTGCTGTATCCCGGCGGGCCCTCCAGGCCATTGCGGCGCTTGCCGACTGACTGGTTACTTGTCGTCGCGACAGCAACGACTGACGCTTATTCTCCAGGCCATTGCGGCGCTTGCCGCCAGCACTGGTTACTTGTCGTCGCGAAATTAGCGGAGGAACCACCCCCCCCATCCGTGATCCCCCATGCTGCTGTCGGCGGCGCAGAGACATCTGTGGTGGTGGTGGTGGTGGTGGGTGTACTACTGAAACTGGCGCCGCTGGCTGCTGCGAAGCAGAGTGGTGGGCCGCGGAGTGAGAGGTACTAGCGAGGCAGTAAGCGGCTACAGTGCCATAGGAGGTGACAAACGGCGAGAGGAGGAGCAGAAGGAGAGGGTGAAAGAGAGTTACGGCCGTCGCGTTGGCCGCACCTCTTTTGGAAAGAGATGCGGCGGCGGCGGTTGTGGCTCTGCGGCGGGCAGCACTGGCGCCGCCACAGGGGTGAGAGGCCGCGATGGCGCTTATAGTAGTAAGCGTCATGATGGAATAGTGGCTTACTTGTACTAGTATACTACTAGTAGTGTAGTACCCGGGGAATCCCAGTGCCCACCAACAATAGTACGAGTGTGCTGACATAGGAAGGATGCATCAGTGTCAGAAAGAAAATGGAGCCGCCGCATCTCTGATGTTCCAAAGGCAGGCGGTGATGGTGAATGGATGGGGGCCACACCTCGTTACTAGTTCCTGTGGTGAGTGGTTGTGCGCGCCGCGCGTTCAGAAAGCGGTGACGCGGACAAACCGCTCTACTAGAGTCACCGCACAACATCGTACTCAACAGCTCCACTGAACCGTAGGCGGACCTCATCGGATTCAGAACCGAAGCATGCAGGCAGGTTTCGAGGACGAAATTACAATTGCCTGTAGGGAAGGGCAGAGTTTGCTACAGTAACCTCATTCTTGCCAACAACAGGTTGGGAGTTCGGACGACTTTCACTGTGCGGGTGTGAGGGCAAACCCAATTCCCCATCAGCATTGCGAGCCATGTGCTGTCACAAACTAATATCCCACGCGCCTGTGGTGAACCTGCGATGAGGGGCGGGGATTGGGTGATATTGTGAGAGGTCTTGGGGTTCAGCTGAGTCAGCTGTGTGAGCAGAACCCCCTCAGCGTTTGCTCAACGTTGAATCCACTGGTTGCAATCCCGCAGCAGCGTTGTGTACGGTGTATGTGAATGTGCGGTTCACGAGCGAGCGCATTCTAACACGTCACTGAAGTTGCATCATCGCGCGAGGCTCGCGCGAGCGATGATAAGCCCTTCGTCGTCATTCCAATGCTGACGCGCGCTGCCAGCACCCGACAATCATCGCGAAGCCATCATGACATGCCACGCCACCCCGCAACAGGTACTTGTTGCGGAGACATTTTTTCTCACTACTAAAGCCTCTCCAGCGAGCTTCCCATCCGCGTGAGGGAAAACAACCAGTCACGACAAACGGGTGTGGGACTGAAATATCATGGCACAGGAGCCCAGCACGTTGCTCCCCTGCCTGGCGTTTTTACTAGTAGTACTAGTAATACGTCAGAAGACACATCAGCCCAACCACACAATCAGAAAGCACCATTCATCGCCAGCTGCCCATCAGCACTACCAGCTGTTGACGGCGCCTGAGCTTCGGATGCGAGAACAAGCTGCTGCGGCCACGAGTGATGGCTTTTGGATCAACGCACACGGCTGATGCTGCTGCAGCTGCTCCCGAGGTACTGATGGAGCCTGGGCGAGTGCAGCATCGCTCGGCTCAGGCTGCTCTTGCCGCATGGTGCCTCGTGTCGGCCCTCCTCGTCTCACCTCCCGTGGTGGTCAACGCTGAGCCTTTGCAATCTACGCAAGGTCGGAGCCACCACTGCCGCACTTCTGTTGCACTCGTACTGCTCCTTTGCTTCCTCATGCCTTAATCATATCGCCATGCTCAGCTTAATAACGTCTTGGTGGCTCCTTCAAGAATCCCTTCTCTCTAGGGCCTGCCAGGTGGGTTACTGCCTGTTTCAAGTTGTGCCTCTCTGTCCATTCATTCCTTGAATCCTGATGAAGCCTCACATTTCCATGACCCTCTTCCGTCTCACCCACGCTCCCTCCTTCCCTCCCTCCTTCCCTCCCTCCTTCCCTCCCTCCTTCCCTCCCTCCTTCCCTCCCTCCTTCCCTCCCTCCTTCCCTCCCTCCTTCCCTCCCTCCTTCCCTCCCTCCTTCCCTCCCTACCTTCCCTCCCTCCTTCCCTCCTCCTTCCCTCCCTCCTTCCCTCCCTCCTTCCCTCCCGCCTTCCTCCCTCCTTCCCTCCCTCCTTACCTACCCTCCTTCCTCCCTCCTTCCCTCCTCCTTCCCTCCCTCCTTCCCCTCCCATCCTTCCCTCCCTCCTTCCCTCCCGCCTTCCCTCCCTCCTTCCCTCCCTCCTTCCCTCCCTCCTTCCCTCCCTCCTTCCCTCCCTCCTTCCATCCCTCCTTCCCTCCCTCCTTCCCTCCCTCCTCCCTCCCTCCTTCCCTCCCTCCTTCCCTCTCCTCCTTCCCTCCCTCCTTCCCTCCCTCCTTCCTCCCTCCTTCCCTCCCTCCTTCCCTCCTCCTTCCCTCCCTCCTTGCCCTCCCTCCTTCCCTCCTCCTTCCCTCCCTCCTTCCCTCCCTCCTTCCCTCCCTCCTTCCCTCCCTCCTTCCCTCCCTCCTTCCCTCCCTCCTTCCCTCCCTCCTTCCCTCCCTCCTTCCCTCCCTCCTTCCCTCCCTCCTTCCCTCCCTCCTTCCCTCCTCCTTCCCTCCCCCTTCCCTCCCATTCTCTTCACTCCCTCCTTCCCGTCCCTCCTTCCCTCCTCCTTCCCTCCCTCCTTCCCTCCCTCCTTCCCTCCCTCCTTCCTCCCTCCTTCCCTCCCTCCTTCCCTCCCTCCTTCCCTCCCTCCTTCCTACCCTCCTTCCCTCCCTCCTTCCCTCCCTCCTTCCCTCCCTCCTTCCCTCCCTCCTTCCCTCCCATCCTTCCCTCCCTCCTTCCCTCCCTCCTTCCCTCCCTCCTTCCCTCCCTCCTTCCCTCCCTCCTTCCCCTCCTTCCTCCCTCCTTCCCTCCCTCCTCCCTCCCTCCTTCCCTCCCTCCTTCCCTCCCTCCTTCCCTCCCTCCTTCCCTCCCTCCTTCCCTCCCTCCTTCCCCCTCCCTCCTTCCCTCCCTCCTTCCCTCCCTCCTTCCCTCCCTCCTTCCCTCCCTCCTTCCCTCCCTCCTTCCCTCCCTCCTTCCCTCCTCCTTCCCTCCCTCCTTCCCTCCCTCCTTCCCTCCCTCCTTCCCTCCCTCCTTCCCTCCCTCCTTCCCTCCCTCCTTCCCTCCCTCCTTCCCTCCCTCCTTCCCTCCCTCCTTCCCTCCCTCCTTCCCTCCCTCCTCCTTCCCTCCCTCCTTCCCTCCCTCCTTCCCTCCCTCCTTCCCTCCCTCCTTCCCTCCCTCCTTCCCTCCCTCCTTCCCTCCCTCCTTCCCTCCCTCCTTCCCTCCCTCCTTCCCTCCCTCCTTCCCTCCCTCCTTCCCTCCCTCCTTCCCTCCCTCCTTCCCTCCCTCCTTCCCTCCCTCCTTCCCTCCCTCCTTCCCTCCCTCCTTCCCTCCCTCCTTCCCTCCCTCCTTCCCTCCCTCCTTCCCTCCCTCCTTCCCTCCCTCCTTCCCTCCCTCCTTCCCTCCCTCCTTCCCTCCCTCCTCCTCCCTCCCTCCTTCCCTCCCTCCTTCCCTCCCTCCTTCCCTCCCTCCCTGCCTCGCTCCCTCCTCGTTCTTCCCGCTCGCCTCCCTCCCTCCCCGTGTCACCTGGCAGTGGCATTCCTGCAGGACTGTCAGGCGGCATGGGGGAAGGCCATGGATGGCTGGAGTGGAACCAATCCCAGCTGCGAAACTGCAATGGGCCTTATGTGCGATGGCAACGGCATGATCACAAGCATGTGAGTTCGTTCATCACAGGGACAGTAAGCCTGCCATGGGTGGAGCGGAGCACACTCTCCATTGCATTCGGTGCTGTTTTCGTTCGCGCTCTTTTCTCTCTTGTCTCCTCTGCTCTGCCCACTCCTCTCGCACTCACTGGAGAGAAACACCTTTCTACCCAAGTCTCTTTGTCCCACTTGACATCGGTTCTTAATCTTCTTGTTTTAGTATCTCTTCTCTTTTTACAATGCCTTTTATATTTCATTTTATGTTTCTCTCTGGGATTTGTGTCACTGGCAATAACCTATGGACATCATCTGTTGCATTGTCTGTATTCCCTTCAGGGAAATTTACTTCAACGAGCTTTCAGGCAGCATCCCTAATACCATCAGTGCACTCGGACAGCTGACGTCCCTGTAAGCCACACACGAGTGAGAGATACATGAGCCTTACACGCTCGCTCTTTCAACGCACGTCTTATAAACTGCTATGCAGAATTGCCTGATCTGAACTGATAAGCTCCATATGTTGTCAGCATGATTTTTTTTTTATTAAAAAAAAAAAAAAAAAAAAAATCCGTTGCCCTGTTTGCACGTGGCAGAGCTCTAGTTGGAAATCAGCTTACTGGTGGTCTGCCCAGCACCATTGTCTTGCTGACGAATCTAGAATATCTGTAAGCCCTCCAATTAACGCGTTTAGATGTTTCTATTCCCATTGCCTCCTCTCCCATCTCCTCTTATAGCGCTTACTATGCCATTTCCCTCCCTCCCCGTGACCCTTCTTTCCATCTCCGTTCCTCTTTGCCTGTCTTTTCTTCTGGCACTACCGTCAAACACCCCCTCTCTCCCTTCTCCTCTCTTTGCCTCATTCTTCTTCCCTTCTCTACATATATCTGACACCTTTGCGCCTGTGGCTCACCCCATTCCCTTCCTTCCAGGTTGCTCGGTAGAAATAACCTCACTGGCGGAATCCCGTCTAACATAGGCACTCTTCTTAAGCTGCAATATTTGTAAGCCATGCGTTGGCTGGCATTGCCTGGCGCTATCTGCTTTGGTCAGAACTACCTCCAGCAATTGTGGGCTTGTTGATTTGGACCCCGCTTACTGCCTCCTTTGAATGTGGCTTTTGGGATTTGCGTGACTGGCAATAACCTGTGAACATCATTTGTATTGCCTGTATTCCTTCAGGGATCTTTTCAGCAACCCACTTTCAGGCAGCATCCCTAATAGCATCAGTGCACTCGGACAGCTGACGGGCCTGTAAGCCACACACGAGTGCGAGATACATGAGCCTTACACGCTCGCTCTTTCAACGCACATCTTATAAACTGCTATGCAGAATTGTCTGTTATGAACTGATGAGCTCCATATGTCGTCAGCATGCATGTTCTTCTTTTCCCTTTTCTTGTTCTTTCTTCGTCTCCCTGTTTGGACATCGCAGTATTTTAATCAGTAATCAGCTGACTGGTGGCCTGCCCAGTACCATTGTCTCGCTGACGAATCTAGAATATCTGTAAGCCCTCCAATTAACGCGTTTAGTCCCTTCTTCCCTCCTCCTACTATTCAATATTGTTCTATTCCCATCACCTCCTTACCCGTCTCCTCTTATAGCGCTTACTATCTGCAATTCCTTCCCTCCCCTTGACCCGTCCTTCCATCTCCGTTCCTCTTTGCCTGTCTTTTCTTCTGGCGCTATCATCAAACACCCCCTCTCTTTGCCTCATTCTTCTTCCCTTCTCTACATATATCTGACACCTTAGCGCTTGTGACTCACCCCGTTCCCTTCCTTCCAGGATGCTCGGTGGAAATACACTCACTGGCGGGCTCCCGTCTAACATAGGCGCTCTTCGTAAGCTGCAGATTTTGTAAGCCATGCGTCTGGCTGGCGTTGCCTTCGCTCGCCTGCGCTTCTCCTTCGTGTTTTTTCATGTGCCTTTCTCCTCCGACTGCCAGACAACCTAACCCCCACCCCACCCCACGTGATCGCACTCTGTTGTGTTGAATTGTATATCTCAGCCAACTTTCTTACAACGGATTTTCAGGCAGCATCCCTGACAGCATCTCTGCTCTGGAACGTGTCACTTTCCTGTGAGCTTCTGATCAAGTCAAAATGTGTGCTCCCTGTGTAGTTCACCTCACATGAGAAGTTCGATGCCATATACGGTACACAGACGGAGCTGATACTCAAGGCATCACGCCTCGTCGAAACTGTGCAATAGAGATGCCACGCCACCTGTACATACCTTGTGTCGGTCACATGGGGGGCCATGGGTTTGGTGTATGAGTGCCAAAGCTTCATTGATTCACGTTTCACCCACTGATGCACCGATTTCCCACTAGGTCGTTTACATGAATCTCCTACTGATACACTTCCACAAGCATGTGCATCATTTGCAGGGCCCTTGATGGGAACCAATTCACTGGTGGTGTGCCACTTGCCATTGCCTCACTCACGAACCTCAAGGCCCTGTAATACCTCTCTTCTATTGGCTCCTGTAATACCTCCCTGCCGTTGGCCTCCGAGGAGGCCAATTTCTCTCCACCCTGCTAGGCTCCCCTATCCTCCTTGTGGGCTCCTCTTTTCCCTCCTCTTTCCCCGCCTCTTTCCTACGGTCTACACACCTTGGTGAGTGGGCCCACCCTCCTCTCGTGCTCGCTCTTCTCCTCTTCTCCCCGTCCCATTACCTCTCATTTCTATCTGCCCACTCCTTGCCTTGTCATTTTCATTATTTTCTTTGCCCACTCCTTGCCTTGTCATTCTGATTTCTATCGGCCCACCCCTTGTCTTTCTATTCTCATTTCTATCTGCCCACTTCTTGCCTTTTCGTTCTCATTTCTCTCTGCCCACTCCTTGCATTGTCATTCTCTTTTCTTCCTGCCCACTCCTTGCATTGTCATTCTCATTTCCCCCTGCCCACTCCTTGCCTGTCATTCTCATTCCCCTCCTCATTTTTCTCTGCTCATGTGTAACGTCTGCTTGACCTCACTGCCCCCCTTGGTTGCAGATTCCTCCATCGGAATCCGCTAGCTGGCTCTATTCCGCCTCAGATGGGTTTCCTAACTCGACTGGACACCTTGTGAGCCTTCTGACGCTCGCTCCACGGGCCCCCTCTCTCGCCCCGCGTCTTGCTCTTGTCGACTCAAGTCGTATCAAGTAGTCTCAAGTCATGTCTCTCTCCTCCTTTCCTTCCTCTGGTTTGAGGTCCCATGACATTCTTCAGCTGCTACTCCTGACTCCTCATCTTCATCTCGTCCCTTTCCTCTTCTCTCGTCCCCTTTGCTCTGAATCCCGCCCCTTTCCTCTTCATCCCCTCCTCTTTCTCTTAATCTCGTTCCTTTCCTCTTCTTCTCGTCCTTTTAGCTCATCCTCTCATCTCCATCCTCCATCCCTACTTATCATATCATGCCATCCTCTGCCGCATCTCCTGCTGTTCTCCAGGAAACTTGAGTACAATCAGCTTTCGGGCAGCATCCCTGCTACCTTCTCTAATCTGAAAAATCTCTACTTCTTGCAAGTCACTATGGGTGTTCATGCATGCTTGTATGCATGCCCCATCCCTGTCCCTCCAGTGTGCATTTAATGCAGAAAAACTGCCTGTAACCCAAGTGCCGGGTGCTTTGAAAAGCAGGATAGATTATGTACTTGCAACACGTCTGTTCCTTGTGTATATTCCACATGAAGAGCACATAGGCCGCTGTGCATACGCTACTGAATGGTGTGGAGATTCTGCCGTCTCGCTTCTCGCATCCTCCTTGGGTGGTTGTACCTGTAGGAGCATCCATGGCAACCAGCTCACTGGTGGGTTGCCTGGCCTTGGGTCTATGACGAGACTTGACACTCTGTAAGCCTCTCTGCTCTGCTGCTACCATCTCCTCTCCCTTTGTTTCATCCTGTCTTTTTTCCAGTCTCGTCGTACACTTATTTTTGTTTCCCAACTTCCTTCTCCACACTTTCTTCCTCTTTATCTCACTCGTTGCCTCGCCTCGTCTCTGCTGAGTCCTGACACTGTTCATTTCTCCTTTTACACAACCTCTTATAATTTCCTCTTCTTTTTGTTTGCCATGTGTCAGGTTTCTCAACAGCAATCAGCTCACCGGACCTCTCCCTTCCAACATAGGATCCCTCACAAGTCTCGAAGTCATGTGAGCCCGGTGCCCCCTTCTTTCCTCGCTGGTCTTCCTCCTTCTCCACACCCGCCCGTTCTCACTCAACTTGCCGCAGTTTTCAGCAATCTCCTCGCATGTAACAATTGTCCCCTTCCTTCAACCCCTTTCCAGAGACCTTTCGTACAACTTTATTTCAGGCAGCATCCCTGACAGCATCAGCTCTCTCAAGCAGATGACTCATATGTAAGTGTTTGATTTGCACTCGCTTCTCTCCAGACTCCAAGTGCAAGGGTAGTGCACCGCACAACACATGTGCTGCACCTTACGTGAGCAGCGAGTCTTTTCTGTACCATCTGTTTCTGCCACAGTGCTTCTTGCTGTACAACACCGCACGGCCTGATGTCACTACCTTCTGGTTACAGGAGTATATTTTAGCAGCTTACTGGTGGTCTGGCCACGGGAACAGGGTCCATAATTAGTCTATTGACCTTGTAAAGCCCATCTTCTCTGCTGCTCTCATCTCTCGACTCCCAGTTTCGGTTCCTCCCAATCTTGTGGTTTCAGCTCTCAATGTCTATGTCTCCCGTTGCTTTCTGTTCACTTCTCTGCCCTCTTCTTGTTTGCCTGCCTGGTCGCCTTTCATACCGAATCTTTCCTCTTCTGCTTTCCTCTCCCATCACCCATTTCTTTTACGCTCTCCTCCGCACTACAGCTCTCCCCTCATGTCGTGCTTACCCCTTCTACTTACTCGACTTACTCGTTGTTGTCACTCACCTTTCTTGCTACTCATTCCCGAAACCCTTATCTTAACTAGTCTCCTGCCCTCATCCCTATTTACATCTCTGCTGTGTGATATTGTTTGGAAGCAAGACCTGAGGACATCACAACCACAACCTTTCTGGTAATGTTCGTTTTCTGCGCGCCCTGGTCATCTCATTTCTTCTCTGCAGGTATCTTCACCGCAACCAGATATCAGGTCCTCTCCCTTCTGGCATAGGTGACCTCACCAAGCTGCAGATTCTGTGAGTCGGTTTCCATGCTCTCATCCTCTTTGCGCCCCTCCTCCTCATTGCCTTGACGTTTCGCTTTCCCCCTTATTAGTCCCTTCTGTATTCTCCACATCTTGTCTCTTTTCTTCTAATTTCCGCTTGTTCCAAACAGTCCTGTGTACCAATGCACGGGAATCACAGGCAGGTTAAGATTCAGAACAAAATAATAACGCTAGAGAAAGGGGCCCATGACCCTAAGGGATAGGCATGAGCAGGGGGCAAACACGAATATGTTCGTGCTCGCCCAGGGGGAATATGTCACCTGGGCGAACCATACGGTGTTTGGTTCGCCACGAACACTTTCAGGGAAAAGGGTGTTCGCCTGTTCGCCTCTAGAGGCGAACACCCTCATGTTCGCCCAGAGCACGAACATGTTCGTGCTCGCCTGTCACAGCCCTCGATATAGTCACATTTACCAGTGTACAGCCCTAATCTGGCCTTAATGTTAAATTCGCCTACTGTTTCAGCAGGGGTTGGTGGAATCTTGTTGGCCTAAACCCCGAATGGCACTATAAACCCTTAGCTGAAATACAATATATTCTCCCTACTATTTATGCTACCCTATTTGTGTAGTTTAGGCTGGTGTAGGGATGAGCAAGGGGCGAACACGAACGTGTTCGTATTCGCCCCTACACGAACACCGCCGTTTGCCGAACCGAACACTGTTCGGTTCGGCGAACACTTTGAGCAAAAAATGGTGTTCGCCGTTCGCCTGTGAAGGCGTGTTCGGGCGAACCTTGAACACGTTCGTGTTCGTCGCGGGGCAAATTGCAGCAGCGGCCCGAACACGAACATGTTCGGGCGAACATCGAACACTGTTCGGCGAACAATTTAAGCCAAAAAAAAATACCTGTTCGGTTTTTTGCTCAACCCTAGGCTGGTGCTTAGTGTTGCTGGTGGGAGTATGGGCTGTGGGTGGGAGGATCGTCAAGGTTTGAGCTCAAACTGAATGTCCCGCAACCTAAAAATGTTGGTCACGGCGGCAAACACTTTTGTGTTCGTTGACACCCTCAGACGAACACGAACATCTTCTTTTTCGTCGCATCTTGGCCAGCCGCGACGAACCGAACGCGAACATGTTTGCCCCGAACACTTTAGGCGAAAATGTTCGAGGCCAACCAAACAGGTGTTCGCCCTCCTGCTCAAGCCTAATAAAGGGTCCACGGTTCCAAAAGGCGAAACGGTTGAGCCTCGCGCAACGGTTCGGCCAAGCCTTGTGGTCCTCATGCGGAAGACATGACTTGGGCCCGCTGGTGGGTACCACTCCAGTGCTGCCAGTATTCATGAAGCAGGATGGCTGTTTCTGCTGAGGCCGGCGTGTGATGAGTCGATTTTTGAGTCGACTCAAAAGTGACATGGCTTTGTCCCGCTGGTGGGTACCACTCCAGCGCTGCCAGTATTCATGAAGCAGGTTGGCTGTTTCTGCTGAGGTCGGCGCTGCGTTGAAGCACCGTTTGGCCGCGAGGTTTATGCAGGCCCACAGGTAATTGAATGAGCACCCCAGGTGAGGTGTAGGTGTAGCCATAGGTTTCCACTGCCATTGCAAGCGTTCCTGTTGGCGCATTTCTCTTCCTCGCACGTTGCAGCCGCCTGTGCCTCCCAACCAGGAGCTCGACAAGCGAGCGGGCTTGGTTGGTAGGAAACAGGGTCGGTGCCCATGATGTCACACATCCACAGTTCCCCAGTGTCGGGATGGCGGGTGGCAACATCCGCTAATTTGTTCTCAATCAGGGAGTTGATGATAGTTTCCCTGTGGACCTATCCGGTCACATTCATCCCGAAGAGCATGGTGGGTGCCAATTCTGCTGTTGTGTTTTTTTTGCAGTGCATGAATTGGATGGGGAGGCGGGCGGCTGGGAAAGTGGTGGCCTCTTTTTCTGTCTCTTATCTTCTCTTCACCTCCCTTCTCCTCTCTTCTCCTCTCCCCTCTTCTGTTCTCTTCTCTACTCCATTCCCTTCTCTACAACATTCCCTTCTCTACTCCATTCCCTTCTCTACTCCATTCCCTTCTCATCTCGTCTCGTGTCTTCCTTCCATCCTGGTCCTCTGTTACATGCGTCTTGTCTCCCAGCGATCTCCGTTACAACAATCTCTCAGGCAGCATCCCAGCTAGCATCAGTGCACTACAACAACTGAAATTCCTGTAAGGAACATGCGAGTGACATAACGTCCATGCCTCATTTTGGATAGACTCTGTCTGCAAGTGTAGCAGGCTAGCTGTGTGACATGCACATTCAATACGTGATGCACAAAGTTCTTATTGTTCCGTCCATCCCTCAACAGTGCACCTAGTCCACTGTCTGTATCACGAACTCCTCAACTTTGCAACTTTGCAGCAACCTTTCCACCAACTGTGCTTTCTCGTGGCTAATGTCCCAAGGGCCAACTCTCTTTGATCTCAACAGGAGTCTCTACAGAAATCAGCTCAATGGCACCATACCTGATGGCTTAGCTTCACTGACAAATCTGGTGACCTTGTAAGACCTGTCTGTGTTTGTACCACTTGGCGTTCTGACCGCTACCAGCCAAAAACATTTTGTACTCTTTACTACTAGCCAACCAGAGTTTGCTCAGTCCTCCTCACTGTTTCTGTCTGCTTACGCTGTGCACTTTCTACCTTCTCTGATCTTGCGATTGACCTGTTACTTGTTCTCTGCACTCAATTTCTTCTCTACACGTTTCGTTCTCCACTTTGTACTCGCAACCCTGTTCTGTTGATGAGTTTATTCTTTCTCTCTTTCTTCTCCCTCACCTTCTTTAAACTCTTGCCTCCACTTCTCTGTCCCTCTTCTCGCCTTTAGCCTCCCTTCAACGTAGTTTCCTGTAACTCTTTTTTTGTTGTGACTCTCATATTAGTGAAATCTCCTGTATTGCCCGCACGCCTCACAGGTTTCTTCACTGCAATCAGCTCTCCAGCTCAATTCCGTCCAGCATAGGCGCCCTCACCAACCTGCAGACCATGTGAGTCATTGCGCATTCATCTCGTCTCTCCGTTTCTCCTTGAAGCCTCATATTTCCTATCCTGCAATCCTGAATCCTGCATCTTCCCTTCCACTTCATCGCCCCCTTTTGTTACCTCCTCTAGCTGCAATTCTCCTCACAACTGCTTTCCTGTGTTGCTGTCTTTGTTGCATTGGGTCCCCCTCAGTGACCATGTGAGTCACTGCGCATCTCAGTCTCGTTTCTCGGTTTATCCTTACAAGTCTCATAAGTCGAATCCTGCAATCACAGTTCTTGAATCCTGACTCCATCCTTTCATCACAGACTTTTGTACCTCTCGCAACTGCTCCCCTTCTCACAGCTGCTTCTCTGTGTTTCCCTCCTTGTGCATTGCATCCCCACCCTCAGTGACCTTTCTTACAACCAGCTTACCGGAACAATCCCTTCACACATTAGCACCCTAGGACAACTCACCTTCCTGTACGTTACACTCAAGGGAAGCTTACAGCATCATATTTCCCTTGAATTACGAGCATTACGCAATCTACATCCATCGACTGCTTCTATTGCGCATGCAAAACACATGTCCCCGATGCACCCAGGACGATTTGACCTTCTGATCTTCTGTTTGTGCCTTCCTCCCTTCTCTCCCATTCGTCTCGGCAGCGACCTGTCTGTCAACAAGTTTTACGAAAGCATTCCTGACAGCATCACAGCACTCAGGGAGCTCACCTTCCTGTAAGCCACCCACACACACAACTTAACTGCTTGCTGCATCCGCTCGGATTTTGCCTCTTTATGTATACTTTGGAGTGTGCGCATGCACGTGCACGTGCGTGTGCATGGCCATGTTCGAAAGAACACCCTGTTGGACCACGTGGACTTGAATTGATGATGCTGGTACATGTATGTGCATGTGAATGCTCGATCCGTGCCTCTGCCTGATGTGCATCCTGTGCCGAGTTATGAGGCGCCTCTAAAACAGGCTGCTAAGATATATGCATTCTGTACCTGCTTCAACCCTTAACTTGCTTGCTCCCTCCTGCCTGTAACCTTGTGTCTTTCTCTTTAATGTGCATGTCCCTTTCTTGCTATTGATTCCCGCAGCAACCTCTTCAGCAATAAGCTCATTGGTAATATACCCTCGGCCATTGGTTCGCTCTCCAATCTTGTGACTCTGTAAGTCCTCTCTAGCTTGATAGTATCTGTCCCTGTTTCTTATATCAATGCTGCTGCTTTCCTGCATTGTCCATCTCTATTCTGTTCCACAGTTCTCCATATACTCATACGTATACCTTTGCCCTTCGCCTCTGTTTCTCCACACATTTGGTGCCTTTTCTCTAAATACCAGTGATCTGTCAACAAACCAGCTTTCTGATAGCATCCCTGACAGCATCAGTGCACTCGGCAAACTCACTCGCCTGTAAGCCCATGCCTAACACTTCTCGTCTTTGCTTCTTGCCTCTCCTTTTGACAACTCATCTTCACCTGCAATTGGGTGTTATTGTTATATTGGCCTCCTTTTCCTTTCTTCCTCCCTTCCCTTCCACAGCTCTCTCTTCATCAACCGGCTAACGGGGTCCATACCTTTCAAGCTCGCCTCGCTATCGAATCTCATCAACCTGTGAGACAAACTGCGTTACTTCTCTCCACTCACCTCCGTGTTCTCTCTACCACGTCTCGCTCTCTGCTGTTTTCCTCTGTTTTCAACCCCACAGCATTGTCTCAGCTCGATGCTTCTTCCTTCTCATACTTACTGCTTGAGTTCTTTCCCTATGGCCTATGGACCTGTTGTTTTCCCCTCCTGCCCTGTGCTCACAGGGGGCTGTTCAACAACTATCTCACAAGCTCTGTGCCTAACGAGATTGGCTCACTCAACAACCTAGCCATGCTGTAAATCCCCTCCTTACCTTCTGCCGTTTCTTTCTTTATACCTCCCTCCTGCACCTGCTCGCCTTCTCTTCCCTTCTTTTCGTATCCACCTTTTCCATCAGCCCATCTTCCTTCTGCTCTCCTTTCCCTGTTGAGTTCCAGACTTAGCATCTCCTCTCCTTTCTCCCTCACATCTCCTCTCTCTCCCTTGTACTGATGCAACGCCTTCCCCATTCTTCCACTGAATCCCTCGATGCACGTCTTTCCCCCCACCTTATCCCTGCCATTCCTCATGCCTTATAACCTGCCCTCCGTGCAGGGACCTGTCCAGCAACCGTCTATCTGGAAAATTTCCTGACTCTATTAGCTCCCTCAACAAACTCACTGTCCTGTACGGCTCATTTGCCCTTGCCTGCTTTGTACTGATATATATGCCACACGCATTGCGCCAAGCAATTCGCTCTCTCAGCTTATGGTGTCCTCCATTCAACCCTACTTCCCTCTAAATTGCTGCAAACCAGCTGCAGTGTCACACACACGTTGTGGAATAATTTTAGTCTACTTCCACTGGGAATACCTAGCATTCGGCGCTTGCATCGGGACTGATAACCTTGAAGCATGTCCCATCACTGAACTTTTGACAGGGTGTTGGATCAAAACGAGCTACAAGGCAGCATCCCAGACGGTATTTCCTCCCTTGTGGCCCTCAATCGCTTGTAAGACCACTCAACCTCCACGCAGCATGCCTGATTTCTCCGTTTTCATGTTCTAGACGCTCATTCTCCAGGGCTGTTTTTTAGGTGAGTGCCTCTGCCTAAGTGCTGCCTGGTTTTCATCACGAGCATGTGCATGTATCTATGCCGCGAGCAGTATACAATTCTTATGTCTTGCGGAAAAAAAAAAAAAAAAACGTTTCCTGCTGCCCTGCTGAACTTGCTTGCCATTGAACACCCCACTCCAATCCCCCCCATATTCCAACATTAGTGCGCTCCCAGCAACACTCCGACTGCTCTCTCTGCTCCTCTATCTCCCAGTGAGCTACAACGCAACCAAATCACAGGATCCATTCCAGATAGCATTCAGAAGCTCTCTCAATTGGTACACCTGTAAGTTCCCTCTTTCACATTTCAGATATTCTTGGTGACAGTATTCCGGGTATCATTGTGACAGCATTCAAACACCATATGATTGTTACTCCATCTTGGTTCTTTCGTCTTCTATGAACTGTGCGTCGTTTGTCTGGCATCAGGTCTCTGTCTTTCAACCAGCTGTATGGCAGAATTCCTGGCACCATTACAAAGCTCACGAGTCTCATTCAGTTGTAAGCCACACTCTGCTTTATGAGACTCATGCTTGCCTTGCCGATGCTAGTCCTTAATCTTGCCATTATCCCCACACCCCCACCTCTTCACATCCCACCTGCACATGCCGCCCCTCCCCAACTCTTCTCCCTCTCCTCACATCCCCCTCCCAGTGACCTCTCGCACAACTTTCTCACAGGTCCCATAATGAAGCCTGCATCTCTCACCAACCTGGACTTGTCCAGCAACTACCTCTCAGGCCCTCTGCTGCCTGCTCTCTGCACCGCATCTTATGCTGCCAACTGCTTCACCCTCCCTGTTGGGTGCACTGCCGGGCCTCAACGCGAAGAGGCGGCGTGCAATGCATTCTGTGGCATCTCAACCCTTGCTGACTCTGCCTCAGCTGCTTGCAGTGGCAATGGCGAGTGTTACCCTGACGGATCCAGCCTCGTCCCCACGTGTCTGTGTGATGCGGGGTTTGAGACGTTTCAGCGTATTAGCTGCGTTGCTGAAGGTGAGGAGGGCGCACAGCAAGCATGGCACTAAGACAGACACGTACAAGAGATTGGGATTTTACAAGTATTACCGGAGACACTAAGCATCCTGAACCATGGACACCAGTCCTTCGTCGTTTTCTACTCACCCTTTCACCTCTCTCTTTCCCTCCTGGCCACCCCCTCCCAATCCCTCCCTCCAGGCAAGAGCCAAAACTATTCTACCAGTCAGCAGATTCTCCCCCCCTCCACCACCCTCACCGTCGGAACAAAGCCCGAGACGGTAGGGAGATTCACCGGGGCACCAGTGACCCTATTTGCGAACGGGACCGAGAAGTGCGGTGTGGAGCTTGCTTTCAACGCCACCTTCTCCTTCACCCTCAGCCCTCATGTTTCGGGTGGCAACGGCTTTGCGTTCGTTATCAGCGCCACTGCTAGGGTCGGGGGCCGTGCTGGTGTGGGGTACCAGGGGATGGACAGTCGGAGCGTGGCGGTTGAGTTTGACACTCTAGATAATAAGGTGTACAGGGATTTGCGCCAGGGTACACGGGGCGTGCATCACGTGGGGCTGAATATCGCGGGCAAGGAAACATCGATAGCTGCAGTGATCTCCCCGTTTTAGCTGAACACTGGATGGGAGTACCGAGCATGGGTGGAGTATCTCCCTGGGGAGCCTGGCACGATCCAGGTGTTTCTTTCTGACACAGCAGAGAAGCCGGTGCAGCCGTTGCTCGAGAGGAGGGTATTGCTGTGTGCCGTGCTGCGAGGTGCACAGCAGCAGCAGAAGAAGCAGAATAAAGCGACATCGAAGCCGCTGCAATCATTCTTCTTTGGCTTTGTGGCGTCCACTACCGTTTCTCCGTTCCAGCTGCTTGTGATTCGAAGCTCCACAGTGAATACAGGCAAGAACCTTCCCTTGTGCTATTCGTTAAGAATTCTCAAGGGGTGACACTATTGGTGGTTGTAACGTGATGTGGGTCATGCTTGTGAGTCTGGACCTTGCAGTGTGACGCATATAATATAGACCATACCATACAAGTGGGGCATGTGGTTGCTGATGGTGGGAGAGCAAGAACGTGTCATCTGGTGTGGTGATCATGATGACCTTGTGATGGTACCTGTGGGCATAGCGACATGGAGAAGACAAAGGGGTGCTGCTGCTGCTGCTGTTCCTCCAGCCGCCTCTTTTGATGTCCCTCTGATACTAAATGATGCTAGCTATCAGCATTTTCCTATTCTCATGCACCCTCTTGCTGCATGCCACTGATGTTCGCTTGTTGCCTGTCTCCCCGCCCGCTCCACAGGCCTGCCTTTACCAAGCCCTGTCGATGTTCAACCTGGTGAGTTGCTGTCTCTCAGTTCCCTTCTCTCCTTTCATCTCCTCGCAGTTCCCTCCTCTCCATTCGTGGCTCTCCTGCTGATAGATCTCATCATTAGCGAGTTGTTAGACATTCCAGCGAGCAGCAGCACCCATGTCGCTGGAATATCTAACAACACAACCCTGCTGATAGGTCTCATCATCAGCACAGCTAAACCTCACGAGCTATCACAAGCATTGCACTCGCGAACCATCCTTCATCTCTGCTATCGCCATTCTCTGCTCCCCAGCCAAAAATCCTTTGCTCTAGATCGCCTTTCTCTCAAGATCCCTCCACACATCATGCCTCTATCATGTTCCTTCCGTGTATTTCCAACTTACGAATGCCTTCCCGTTCACAACTTCCCCTTCTTCCATCCCTCCTGACTGCCTCCCTTCCACAGCCTACGGCCTGGAGTTATCAGCTGATACATACGTGCCCATGAAAAGCAGCCTGTTCACGCGCTATGCAAGTGCCGACTACGTCATGTCCGCCAGCAAGAACGACTCGTGGCGATTCCGGGACTTTCACTCCTGGGACTCCGTGCCCTTCCTTGGCTGGCCCGTCAAAAATCAAGAGGATTGCAGTGAGTAGGGTGAGAGGGGCGCGTGGAAAGGAAGCTGTGGGGGGTGATGGGGCCTTGGGAGGAGAAGGCCCAAGAGGGATGTGTCCCAGGGGGTGTGCAGAGGGAAATAGTGCTCCTTGTACACTGCTGTTCACTGCATTGCACATAATACGCAACACGATACTGTCCATATATGAACCACCTCCTGATTCCACGCCTAAAGAATGAGTGCCTTCTGTTTATGTTATGTCGTCACATTCTATCCGACTCCCATCCTATGTCTCGTCCTCGATTCTATTACCTTCTGCTTGTCCTCTTCATCCATCACAACACTCCGTCGCGCCACTTTCTGTCAGATGCATGCTGGGCATTCGCAGTGGTGGCGAGCATAGAAGCAGCATACGGCATTGCTACGAACAAGGAGGCACCGCAGCTGGCAGTGGAATCTCTCTTCACAGCCATGAACCTCTCTTCCTATGAACACCAGTGCAAGAATGGTGGCTCCCCTACAGAAGCGTTTGAGAAGTTAGTCGGTCTGCCCGACGGGGGACTCAAAATGAGAAGCACCGTCACAGGGCAGATTGCGGTAAGATGGGAGTAGGCGAGGAGAGCAGCTGAGCTGATGGAATGCTTTTTTTATTGTGCTCCCCTTGTGTTTGGGGAATTTTGATTGCTCTTGAAGATTTTGTGAGTGCCCTTACTTGATACGTTTGAGAGATTTCATAGCTCGCCTTTCATGCTGCGTCAAGCCTCCTTCTTGAATGATACCGGTAACTCCCACCTTCACCTGTGGTCCTCTGTCACATCCTCCTCTCCTTACAACCCCTTAACTTGCTCGCCAGGGTTCGCTGTTCCCGGTGCAAGGATTTGAGCGCACACAGTTCAAAGGGTATTTGGGACTCATGCATGCAGTGCAGCGGCAGCCAGTGGTGGTTCATATCGAGGCCTCTGCCACCTCCTTCGTACAATATGATGGGGTCAGTCGTGCCTTGCCAGCAGCTTTCAAGTTTGACCGCTTTATTAGAACTGGTGTGGTGGTGCAGTGTGATCTTGCTTTCAATGGTTCACTGGTGTGGTAGGCAATTTCTCTTCTAGTCGTGCACGAAGTCTCTCTTTGTTGATTGCCTCCATCCTTGCCTCCATACTTGCCTCCATCCTTGCCTCTATACTTGCCTACATCCTTGCCTCCATACTTGCCTCCATACTTGCCCCTGTCACTTATTACACGCCAGACCTTCAAGTATCAGGATCCTGGGTGCTATACGGGGAGTCTGAACCATGCTGTACTCGTTATTGGCTACTACATTATTAGAGATGACGGCAGCCAGAACCGCATAGCGCCTCCGTTTTGGATCATCCGCAACTCGTGGGGAGTGGGATGGGGTGACAGGGGCCACATGCGCATGGACATTCAGGGAGGGGATGGCGTGTGTGGCATCAACGTGCTGCCTGGCATTTACCCCATTGTCAAGAGTGAGAAGCGGTTATCCCTTTACCCATTCACAACAATGCGTTTCTCCTCAATCTTTCCACATCACACCTGCTCCGTGCTATTTAAGCCCACTCACATTTCCACCCACCATTCCACCATGAGTCCACCCCACCCCACCACACGTAAATCACTCCCCATTCCTTTCCCATGTGTCTCTAGCCGCACAAGAAGGTGAACCAGACACCTGTCGTATGGTCGCATTTTAATTCACACATTCAATATTCTTGTTACCCATTCGAACCCCATGTGCCCTGGATCACATGCTCCTTCCCAGTCTCCGGGGACCCATGCGGTTCAAAGAGCTTTCAACAGGACTTAGACCCTCAACCCACCATGAACCCGTGTGGCCGCTTCAAGTGCCGGCCTGATTCAAAGAGCAAAGGCAACACCTGTGACTGCAAGCTTCCAAAGGCGGCCAGGCAGCCGTTTGTAGAGGTCCGGAACGGATACCTCTCCAACACATGTGCCTATGGTGAGAGAGATATGGATTCCTTCCTTTCCCCTTGGGTCATGCTCAAATACAGGTGATGGGTTTGCTGGTGTGTTTGCCTACAGTCACCAAAGCGTTTTCCTACAGTCGCCAGTGCATTTGCCTACAGTCACATATGCATTTGCCTACCAGCTAATGCATTCGCCGATGCGTTTGCTGGTGTGTTTACCCACATGTGCAATACAGCAATAGGTCCAATTCTCACATCAACTTTCTGAACCTGCCCCGTCCCCATACCCATCCGCTTTCCCCCTCAATTCTTCCTAATCTTGCGTCCTCAACCTCCTCCTCCCTCCCTCCCTCCACCGCCCCTTTTCGAGACACACCCCTCAACCTTCGCTTTTTTTCCCTACTTGTCTGCAGTGGACGTGTGTGGGTCATACTTACGCAATCCCTGCACCGTGGGCACATGCATCAACGATGGCAAGGGCGCCTACTCCTGCGTCTGCCCTCCCAACTACATCACCACCACAACCATCGACAACTTCCCCACCTGCGACCCTGGTGCTGCCGTGCTACCTGCAACAGACACATGGCCTGGCTTGGTGCTCTAATCCTTTCCTTCTTGGCATCACAGTTGCTGCAAGCGCTGGTGTTTCACAACATAATCCTTTTTCACGAGACATGAGGCACCACCAGTCCCGTTATCTCTCAGTGTTTTCCTCGTTATCCTCGTTCTCTTCTCTCCCGTCCTCTCTCAGTGAATGAGTCAGTTAGCAGCATCGTAGTAAGCGGGGACAACTGGCAATGCACTGATGTCTATCCTGCCATGGGCCTCACAGCAACCAAGTTCACTCAGCAGAACATGGTGAGGCATGGGTAAGACAGTCGGTTTAAATGCGCGTAGGGCCATGGGATAATGCACGGGTGGGTCCATGGGGTAACGCATGGTTAATGCCAAGTGGTAAGTTGTGGCTAGGGCGTATGAGCATCAGGGGCAGGAAAGGAGGTGGGTGGAAGGACATGGTTGGAATCAGGCAAGGCATGAAGGGGGCACAGGTATATCTGAGCGGATCGTTTCTTTGTGCCAACTGTCTGCGTATGTAAGATTCATATGACACTGTGTAATTGGGTGTTTCCAATCACTCTCTCACTGGTTGTCTCACCCATTGTTCTCACCCATTGGTCTCAACCATCAGTCTCAACCATCGGCCACCCCTTGGTCGTCTCTCACACACTACTTGTCTCTCAACCATTGGTCGTCTCTCAACCATTGGTCGTCTCTCAACCATTGGTCTCACCGGTTGATCTCGCTCATTGGTATTACCCATTGTTGTCTCATGCAGGCAATCAACTGCAACAAGCCCCTCCAGAAGAACACAGTTCTGCAGGTGATCGGTGGTCCCGCCATTCCCTGCACTGCCTTCTTTTACACTCTTAAGGTAAGAAATCCCTGCCTTGCTATAATGTCTGCCGGACTTTTATGATCAATCTAATAGCATGGTATGTGCCATGAACTCTGTCATTGTTAAGGTCAAAGACTGAACCTGTCTCACATGCTCCCCATTCTCCCCCTTAAAACATCCAGGGGGACAGCTGCTTATCCATTTCCAGCCGAGTTGGGCTCAACCAGAGACGCCTCACGGGTCTCAACCCTGGGCTTGACTGCTCCAAGGCCGTGCTTTCAAGTCGACTCTAAAGCACACTGAGCTTCTCTCACATGCTCCCATTCTCCCCTCCTCAACCTTGCCCTGCCCCAGGGGGACACCTGTCCCTCCATCGCCAGCCAAGTGGGGCTCAACCAGAGCCGCCTCACGGGTCTCAACCCTGGGCTTGACTGCTCCAAGGTCGTGCGGCCCGGTCAATCCGTGTGTGTGGAGCGTAATGCCACATACGCCTACACCGTTCCTCAGTGTGTCAAGTACGGGATGCTGACCAAGCAAGACACGTGTGAGCGCCTGCTCGAGCGTATGACGGATAGAGATGACTCTTCCCGTGCGAATTCTGCGAGTCTGTGGGCCCAGCTGTACCGCAACAATCCTGGGCTGGTCTGCTCTGACCCTATTCCGGACTCGGTTGCTTCTGCTGGCAGCAACGCTGGTGTTGAGGTGCGTGGTGATCGGGAAGGGGGGCGGGTGGATGAAATGCAGATGGTGAGGAGAGGAGGATTGTGAGTTGGAGAGGCAGGGAGGGAAGAGTGTTGGCTGTATGAATGTGTGGAAGGGAATGTGATGCCATATCGTCAGGGAGTTTATAGATGTTTTGCTATTTGCCAAGGTAATTTGAGGCCACCACACAAACATCTGAGTTATTTGAACATCTGCCTTTGCTGCGCTTATTTTGCTTCTTCTAGTTGCCCTTGGCTCTCTTTCCCTTGTTGGCCTCCTTCCCAAACCCTTTCTCCCCCTTAGTACCTTCCATGTTCTCACCCTCCCAACGCCTTTCACCCTCTTTGTACATTCCATGTTCTTTCCCTCAAACGCCTTCGAACCCATTTGTACCTTCCATTTTCTCACACTCCCAAATTCGTTCACCCCGTCTGTGCCTTCCATGCTCTCACCCTGTGAACTCCTTACACCCCATCAGTACCTTCCAGATTCGCACCCGCCAACCCCTCTCATCCCGTTTTATCCTTCCATGTTCTCACCCTCCCAACGTCTTTCACACCCCCTCCCAACGTCTTTCACACCCCCTTTGTACCCTCCATGTTCTCACCCTCCCAGTGCCTTTCACCCCCCTTGTACCTTCCATGTTCTCACCCTCCCAACGCCTTCCACCCCCTTATTGCCTTCCATGTTCTCGCCCTGCCAGGTTTGTCTCCGGGCAGAATATTGGCCGTTCCAAGTTGGCAGATGCAGCTTGGGCAGGGCCAAGCCAGTGAAGAAAACGATGGATTGTACAAGTGCTTACGCAATATACAATCGAGATACGACAATTGGAATGAGGCAGTACTTTGAATACAACAAGAGGGAGTGCACTCGAAATGTGAATGAAAATAGCATCTGTGTGCCAGTCCAGAAAAGATAGGGCAAAAATGGAATGCCGTTTCGTTTGGGGGTACTTTGTGTTCTTGGTTTGCATTGTTTCCTTTCGCTTTTAACTCGATTGGTCATTTGATATTCTGTTAGCTCTAGTGCAATGTATATAATTTGTGTATTGTTTTATAAGCTCCCTCTATAATAAATAAAAATTTGTTGAATAAACAGTAAAGAATTTCACGTTACCGGTATGAGCCTGACGAGACGACGCCTTCCGGTTCAGTCCCGTTCATTCTCGCTGACTACAATAACATAGATTGTTCCGAAAAGGTGGGTTAAGATAGCATACTACCGTCCGTATGTGTCCCACTGAGGGGACGTTACGTTAGCAAGCATGTTTCTGTCAATACGCAAAAGCACGATTCAAACCCCACAATTCTGTGTCAGAATAATATATAATTCTATATATCGTTCTATAACTGCCTGTAGTGTAGAATACTGTAGTCATATAACTTTCTGTTTGGTGGTGCACCTTTCTTCATTCTTGCCTATTTGTACTGCTCGCTCTATAGTGAACCTCTTTTGTTGGCCAACTTTCTCCTCTCGACACTCTCGTCAACCCCCTTCCTAGCACCTAGGGTTTCCATGCAGGGCTCTTGCTAGGATCTGAGGACGTCTGATTTATCAGACGGGTCCCCCGGGCATTAGACAAGGTTTTGTCTGATCCTGTTTGCCAAATCAGATGAATCCAAAAAAGTAAGTCTGAAAATCAGACCATCAGACCAAATTATGTATATTTTCGAAAGTGTTACACTTTCTAAAATGACTTATTGTGAAAGCGCAGCAGCTTGTACGCAGCACTTAAAGGCATCGTCGAAGCGCTATTCGCCCTTCTCCGACTACAAAAGAAGGGGTTTCGGCCATTTGGCCTCACCCACATTTTCATTTTTGAACTTTCAAGTTCAGTTTTTGCCCGTCACGCTGGCGAAGACACGTTCTCTCCCTCGCTTCCATTTTCCCTCTACTCTTCTAACGGACATCGTCAACCACAACCTGTCAACGATGGCTCCTACTAATACCAACCACGACGAGGCTACAAACGGGAACGCCCGACCTTTTTCCGAGTCCGGAAAAAAGTCCGGGGAACCCGACCGACGCCTGAAAAGGAAGGCGCCTGCCACTGCTGTGGAGGTCCTGCTCGGAGGAGGAGAGCCGAGCGGGACTCCCGCTCCTGCACCTCGCCCCAGTCAAGAGCAGCGCGTGGAGCACGCGCCTGGCGAGAAAGAGACAGACGCGGCTGACGTCACGCCAGCCGCGTCTGACTTCGCGCGTGGCACGGGCACGCGCGGTCAAAGCAGTCCCGCGCGCGACGGCCATGCGCCAGCACCCGCCCCAGTTTCGACCCCCCCGAGTCTGTCGCCGGACCAGATAACGGCGCTCCTGGCGCTGTTACGGCAGCATCAAACTACAGCAACTCGTTCGATTTCGGCAAACGATACAAATGTATCTGCAAAACCGGAGAAGAAATGCGAGTCATCCCCGCCTCCTCGCGCCACCAAGATGCCGCGCCATGCTGAGACGCCTTTCTGTGAAAATAAGAACAAGGAATGAATGAACTAGAACAGAGTTGGGTACAAATATGAAACCCTAGAAACCTGTACCCCTTAGTGTCTACCCCACTACAGCCTACATAGGCTAGGCCATATATGTCTGACACACCCCCATAGGCAAAGTGGGGGAGAACTAGGGGTCACAAGACCTGTCAAGCAAAGCAAAGCAAGCTCAGGGTGGATCACAACGTCACCACACATTCCGAGCACAAGTTCAAAGGCCACAAGGCCAGTTCACATGCAGGATTATAAATCAAGGTGAACAAACAAGACAGTGATCACAACCTAGCAAGGGTAAGCAAGCAGGTGCCGGTATATATAGATCTTAGTACAAGCAAAGTCAAGAGGTAAGCAAGTGAGGCCAAGTAGGCACAAGACCTAACATAGTACAGAACCGCTGATCATCACAAGGCTGAAGTGCCTTGGTAAAGATATCAGCAGTGTTGGCCCGAGAGGCCACGTAAGCAAGGCGCAGCTGACCACGCTGCTGCAGCTCACGTGCAAGAAAGAAGCGAAGAGCAATGTGCTTCATTCTGTGCTCCAGTCTGTGCTCCTGACACAAGGCCAGCATGGCCTTGTTGTCTACGTACAGAACTGGAGGAGAACGAGGCGGCTCTCCAAGGTCGGTCAGCAGGTAGGTGTGCCAGCGTAACTCCTGTGCAGCCATGGCCCCTGCGTAGATCTCAGCCTCACAGCTGGAGCTGAGAACAGAAGACGAGCGGGTAGACCGCCACGAAACAGAGCCGGAGCCAAAGCTGAAGGTGTAACCCTGTGACGACCGCTGCGTAGCCAAGTCGTCAACCCAAGACGCGTCTGCGTGACCAGTGAGAACCACTGGACTCCGCCCTCCAAGCACTAGCCCCATGCCCGACGTACTGCACAAGTAGCGCAACACCCTCTTAGCTGCATCCATGTGCTTTGGTCGGTGTCTCCCAGGAGCAACATAGCGTGCCAGGATGCTAAGAGGGTATGCCAGGTCAGGTCGAGTGCAGGTCATCAGGTACATGAGGCAGCCAACAAGCTCTGGGTACGGGCCACTCGGCTCTACGGACTCATCCGAAGGCAGAGCTGAGAGCGAGTGGCGAGTAGACAGAGGAGTGGCCTGAGGCGAGGAGTACGTGAAGCGGAAGCGCTGAAGGACCTGCTGCACCATGTGTGACTGAGTCAAGGTAATGGTGTGCCGTGCTCTGTCCCGGGTGATCTGCAAGCCAAGATAGCTGTGCAGCTCACCCAGGTCTGTGCACGTGTGTCTCTTCTGCAGCTCGGACTTCACGTGGGCGGGTCCAGCAGTGTCAGCAGTAGCAAAGACCAAGTCGTCGACGTACACGAGGATGTAGAACGGCGGCAGAAATGTGACGGTGCGTAGAAACAGCGACGGGTCAGCAGTGGAAGGAGCAAACCCAAGGGCCGCAAGCGTAGTCCTCAGTGTGTCGTGCCACTCACGGGGCGCCTGGCGGAGACCGTAGACTGGCCGCCGGAGGCTCCACTGGGTACCAGGAGGAAACGACCCAGTGAAGCCAGGTGGGCGGCGCAGCCAGATCTCTTCGTGCAGGCTGCCCTGTAGGAAAGCAGTGCTGAAGTCAAGAGAGTGAAGCTCGTAGTCGCGCTGAGCGGCTATGTGCAGCAGCACCCGAAGAGTGGTCATCTTCGGGGTGGGAGAGAAGGTCTGAAAGTAGTCAACTCCCTGCCGCTGACTGAAGCCTCGAGCCACGTAACGCGCCTTGAAGACAGGCGGAGAACCCGGCGGCCGCTTCACCCTGAAAATCCACATGCCACTGACGATGTTCGCCCCAGGTGGGGGAACCTCGTCGACGTAGGTGCCTGTGGACTTCCAGGAAGCCATCTCTGCGTCCATGGCTGTCTGCCACTGAGAGGAGTAGGGACCCTCTATCGCCTCTGCGTAAGAGCGCGGGGTCGGGATGTCTGGTGCATCCGGGTCTCCCTCAGGGGCAAGCAGCATGGAAACGAGATGAGGTAAAGCAGCAGCAAAACACTGGAACTCCTCCTGCCTGTCCTCAAGGACGTCCGTGCTAAGAGCACACTCACCCCCGACGGACGGAGGACAGACAGACTCAGACTCAGCAACAAGACTAGCGGCGTAGTCAAGACGACAGTGAGCAGCGAAGTCGACAAGCTCAGCAACTAAGGCAGACGCAGCAGTGGACTCAAAGGAAGGGTCAGTGACAACAGTGGCCAGGAGACGCGTGACCGTAGGACTAGCAGCACGAAGGGAGTCAGACTCTGGGTCAGCAAGAGCAGGAAGAGAGGACGCAGGAGGAGACGGCAAAGGGACACGCTGTGGAGCGGTGGACGGACGCAGTGCCATCTGGTGCGTGCCGGGGACAGGAGGAGGACGCTGACGCGAACCACGACGACCAGTGCGAGCAGCGCGAACAGGCGACGCAGGACGAGACTCAGGCTCACGACGCTCAGTAAGGCCTCCGGTAGGACCAGTGTAAGGAGAGGGAGCAGGCAGAGGGGAGGCAGGCTGTAAGTGTAACTGTGACTGGACAGGCGGTGGACACTCTAAGGAAGGCGCAGGACCAGTAGAAGGCGGGAGACCAAGAACCTGCTGAAGGAGCGGAA